TCCTGTGTGGCTACTTGTCACAAAAGACGACCATCATTTTGTACCTGTGAGCTCAACATTTCATATTTTCTTGCCTGTCTCTGCTGTACAGATGGGCTAAATGGGTCAACAGACGGTGGATGTGTGTCAGTGATTCCCTTCCGGTGCCTGGTTGACCTCCCGCCTTTGCACATACAGCAGAAGAAGAAAATAAAAACTGCTGATGCAGACTCGAAAGCAGTCTTGACCTGTTTGTTTCACTTTCAGACTGTATACAGTACACAGCTGGAATCTACGGTCACACTGCGCCGGCTCTGAAGTAAACATTTCAGCTTGGAACATATTGGACATATTAATAATTCGCTTTGATGCACGTTGGAGGTTGTAACCGAATCCTGCTGTAAAAGGGCAGGTTCGAACAGAAGTACTCGAGTACTGAGATTTGATGATCTCTCAGAGCTTCTGTTCTACTTTTTTTTTTGATAACTGATCAACTATTAATTGAAACGGTAGATCCTACGCTTGGTTTGATTAAATCTGGCTTTTGTGACCACCTGGAAAGGCTTTTATTCCCCAAGATTTTCCAAACAGGATCAAACCCAAACCACCATCTGTTACAAAATGTTACCCATCTGGCTGTTTGCTGGGAAATTACCCTTTCTGATCAAAGCTCTAATGTCAACGTGGTGTTTGAAACAAAACAGAGGGTCCGGATCTAATGGATGCAGATTTTCATGAAAAAATGAGTCACTTCATGAAAGCAGAATAGGGATGTAGCACCAAATTTGAAAAGATTGAGGTCAGCATCCCCTAAAGCGCAAATTCATATTTGAATCTATCGTTTAATCAGTCAGCTGTGTACAATCCTGCTTTCACTAAAGCTGGGACACTGTGTACAATGTTGTTGAATCAGATTTAATCATTGAAAATAATGGAAAGGCCGTATCCACCGATCGCAGCTGATCGTTACCATTCAAGTTACTGTGTCAATTTCCACCGGCTTTTTTCCGTTCTGCTATGGATTGCCGGACTCCGCAGCTGATCACACAAGTTATATTTTTTCCGGACGCCAGAGCATGCCGCATAAATTCAGCACAGATTAACCTGTGCTGGAAAGGAAGTCGGGCACGGACACAAAATAAAACATCCGGTTTCAGGCTAATTGTATTTCACACCATGCAAACGGGCGAGAACGAACAACTAAAAGGTTTTTAGACAGCATTTGACCTCGATTACACAATGGGTGAGGGGGTGCTTATTTTAGAAGTCTAGAAGTTGATTTCTTCCTCCGGAAGGACACAATCTACTGCTTATATGGTTAGCCTACGTGTCTAGCTAAAACTTGTTAGCACGCGATTGCACATAAATCTGCGAGTTCTTGTTAGTAATCTGCCATGAAATTTGCCTCACAAACGGATTTGGTAGGAATTGGCAGACGGCAAAAATCGCTGCTGTTCCGGATTAGAGCCGTTTCGGATGCTGAGAAAACCTGGGGCTAAATACTCAAACAGATTTTTTTTTTTTTTAGCTTGTTTTGCGATAAATGTATCTTACTTTCAAATTTGATGCCAGTAACATGCTCTGAAAAAGTCGTGAAACACTAAAAAATTCATGCTTCAATTAATCGGATTTCAATTTTCTGATTCCGATTTTGCCCCTTACTCTGAATGAAAAACACCATGATTGAGACTGACAGATATCTTTCTCGCTTGCCTTGTTATGTCAAATGAACCCACCCTCGCCCCTCAAACAGCTCTCACTTTCACCCCATCATAAGCACCTTGGCTCAATGCTAGAAAAGGCAGATATGTGTGCCTGAAAAGTCAAGGGACAGAATGAGTGCAACAAACAGTTTTGCAGGTTGGACATAATTAGGAGTGTGAGTGATATGACACTTTAAAACCGTTTCTTTTACAACTGTTTACGAGGATAAAACTGGCCTGAAACTGTTTGTTCACCTCACCGGGTAAAGCTGAATCCTCCACACTCCTATCGGTTGAGGTAATTTCGAACACAACACACTTTCAAAATGTTCCATGACAGCAAAGCATAAGAATGAAAGCACTAAAAAAAGGACAATGAGGTTGGCGTGGAAACAATAATAACTGATCTCTGGGCTCAGGGGGAAGTTTTACTGTAACCCACACAAAAGCAACCCAGCCTTGCATTGTCTTTGATCGCTTCATGGGAGACAGATTCTAAATAGTGAATTCATCCCTCAATGATCACCCATGTTTTTGTACTGCTGTGTATTTTATGTAAGAATGACCATCCAGAGGGCAATTTGGGAAGCAAATCATAGATGCTCATTCATAACCCGACCATGAAAATGCACATGGAAGACCAAGGGCCTTGTGTAAGATTATCCGACAACTACCAAGACAAGCCGGTACATCTTAAGATTATCTCTCCACCATGTCCAAGAGCACGAGGGAGCGAAGATACAGACATGAACACCAGCTCTACAGCCTCTGTAATCTTTACAGGGTTAGCAAAAAGCCATCACTCGGAGGCATGGCTCATTCGGTATTCATTTTAATCACTTCTTTTTTTTTTCTTTTCCCACTAGCACCGAGGCGGATGATTAGGCATGCCGGCCCTCATCAGCAGGTCTTACGCTCCCTGGTGGGGCTTGATCATGTTGTTCGGGGGGGCTGAAAGAACAGCTTAGGTCATTTAAATCCTAACTGCTGTCAGCAGAGGGGGTCCACATTGCCGTCCTTAAACAGAAATTGGGGAAATGGGTTAATCTGTATGATTTAGCTGTGTAAGTACCTCTCCAGACACATCTGTGTCGGCTGTATGAGGCAGTTAAGTGGTGCTGATGCACAAAGAAAAGATCTGTTACTGCAGTCCTTTTGAAATTCACGAAATGTCCTTGGTGGCGATGGGCAAAGATATTAAAGTACCAGCATTGGTGGTTCAGCTACCAAGGTCAAATGAACCACCCACACTCTGGTGAGCCCAAATGTCCACTTACTCTGTATAAAAGAGTGAAGTCACTCTCATGGTGCCGACCGCAGAGAAGTGTTTTGACGTTTTGACATCTTTGAGGTTTAAGTACTTTGAAGCATTTAAACATTTTTGACGCCCAGATGCTTTGAAGCTTGGATTTAGGCTTATCTGTTCTCACCATCTTTGCTGGAGCTCGCAAAAATGATGATATGAAAAATGAAAATATGAATACTGAGTGAAGCTGAAGCGCAGTAAACAGCACAGTGGAGTGGAGCGTTATAGACTCAGACAGCTGTCAATCAAAGCGAACGTGTTCAAACACCATGTTTGAACCTCTTTTTACCAGCTAAAACCTTTCAAATCATCATTTAATCACCAATTTCACAAGATAGGACATCTATTTATATGGATCCCATTGCAGGACATTCACCAGGTCATTTGGCTAGTTTACTACTTGCGTTGACCCTAAAATACTTCAAACGCCACTTTGATGGAGAGCCATGAAATTCTAACCAGGCACCCATAAATCATTTTGACTCTAGTTATCCTTCAACTCTTCATAGCCACTGTTACATAGACCACTCTGTTGAAATGCCAGGGCAAGAGTCAGATAGTCAGATATGTTTTGTGACCAAATGCCTTCGAATGAATCGACATCCCTTTCAGCTTCAGTGGTAATTTGTGCTAAAAGCATGTTTACACTCGAAGCTAAGACGGTCGTAATGATACATACTACCTGACAGTCAGAGTGAGCATGGTGGCATTTGCGTTCTGCTTAAAGCAAACTATGACTAACAGCCTCCAAGGACCCTTGCGTGACTGCCGGATGAGTCATGTTCCTACCTTGAATTTGGATTTGATGTGGCCTTGTTGACTCAGTCTACAAAATATTCCAATAAACTGAGCAGGTATTGAATTTACAAAACCGACTCTGGCAAGATGAAAACAAAATGGTATCATCAGCGAACGTAGAGAATCTGACTGTCTTAGACTAAGTTTACGCTGCAAGGCTCACTACCCAACTTGGATTTAGTGCTCAGATTTGATCATTTTGTTTTGGGGTTTATATTACTCAATAAATAAGGCCTTATTAGATTCCTATATGAAGTGGTTATGGTCCTAAATCGACCCTACGTCTCTATGATCCAAACCCAGTGACAGACTTGATCCAAACAAACTATTTCGACGTATGCTCAAGTTGTTTGTGATCCATCTTACCACTTTGGGTTTGTTTCCTTCAATAGTAACATTAACTTTGTTTTATTTTTATTTTTTTTGTATTTTCTGTGATGCAACATGTGAAATTAAAACACCAGAATTGATAAACATAATATCTCTTTTTCTTTTATCAACTATTTTAGAATAAGAAAAATTGTCTTTATGAACAGCTATGTCTAAGTAAGCAAATAAGAACATCAGCCAACGCCTCCACTTTGCCTCTGTTCCCTCGGGAGACATCAACTGAAAGTTTAAAGCAACTCAAAGTTCGATGAGTAAAAATGTGAGGCAGTTTGCATCAGCTCTTCCAGCTGGGAGAAGAAAAAAAAATAGATTTATGGCGTGTAATATCTTGTGTAATCAGCAAATGGGCGCGCAGCAGGATGTCTTCGTTTAATTGGAGTGGGGTGGTGGGAGTTTTGAGGATATGATTATACTTGTTGGGGCTAGTGAAGCCTAGTATTGCAGAGGTAGAAAGCTGGAAAGTGGAAACGTGCAGCTGAAAGAGATCTATCAGAATTTTCCACAGGAGACATGAGTTTCATTTTCATATTTTTCTTGGAGTGATATCCCAGGAGGATGTGATAGATGAGCCGAGATCCTGGATCTCTTCTCCTGCCTGGCCATCCATCTGCTGAGGATCAAACACTCAGAAAGGGGCCAAAGAAGCTCAATGTTCCACGTAATGGAAGCATGAGTTTCCCCAACCGTTGGACATAGCATTTGCAGCGCCGGTTTCCTCAGTCCGCTTCACGCTTGCCTGAGCCTGAACACATGACAAGTAAAACCCGAAGGGTTGGAGAGGGAGGGGGGGCAGCCGAACAGGAGGAGGAGGAGGGGAGATGCAAGAAAAGATCCTAAGTGTTTTGATTTGCGTGTTCACCGGGTGTGTGGATGCATCAATCTGCGTCTCTTCTCTTCTACCTTTGTTTTCCATCTGTTTAACTCTCTCTCTTTATTCCACTCTCTCTCTCTCTATCTCTCTCTCTCGCTCACTCTCTCTCTCTCTCAAGGTTACTCACTATTGTTTTCAGCGGCTGGAATCACTGCACGCTTCTCTTCTTTTCTGTCAGAGGACCATGTGAGGCTTTTGAATGTAAGTGCCTCCTTTGTTGTTTAATTCACTTTCATTAGAACCGCTCCTTTAGAGGCGAAAGGTTTAGGCTCTTTTCTTTTCTTTTTTTTTTCATCTTAGCACATGCACAATAGATGTCATACATCGGTGGGCTGGAGTGGGCTGTGACGGGGAGGGTTGGGGGTGTTTAAGAGGCTTGATTGCTCCATGTGGTTAAAGCGTGGGAGCTGAATGCACGTGTATGCTGCTGTCATTGTCTCGGCGTGGCTTGTGCACAGCTTTGTCTGGGGCTTAAACTTGGTGTGCTACATGTGGTCTTCATTGACTTTTGTTTGGCTTTGTTTGTGTGCATAATCATGACTTTTCAAGGTCTTTAATTTGAGAGGAAGGAACAAGATGATTCATTCAAGTTTTCAAGTTCACTGCTAAGCTGAAATAAAACGATGCAGTCTAAGACTGTTTTAACTTAGTAAGTACATTTATGGGATGGCATGAGAGAGAAAATATTGAATCTTTTATTTGCATCTGTTTGTTTCATTGTATAAAATGTTATCTGTCCTTACCTAACCCTTGGACACTGACGTAACGATGAAGCTATAATACCTTTGTGCATGTCCAGGTAAAACGTTGAGTGCAGCACAGTGCATCAAATAAAACATCGCCTGTCCTGATGCTTGCTTTGAAAATTTGACTTTGCAAAGTCTATTCGTCTTTGCAGCCAACCAAAAAGTGGCGAATAAGGTTCTGCTCTTGTAAGTCTTTGAATTAAACTTTTCTTTTTTACTTATTGGGAGCTTTAGATCCTCAAAGAAAGTGTTTTTTGTCCTAATTTTACCTTTGGGCTCTGATTCAGTTTGTCAGCATTATATTCCTGCCTGTCTACAACTATCACGTTTTGTATGTTCAACTTTAAAGTGGTGAAAAAGTTAAAGGACTTTCCATTTCATGGTATAAAAGAGTTTCTTTGCATGCAGTGTGTCGGAAAAAGTCCTTCCTAATGTAATCCTGTGGTCACTGACTTAATTTGGCAGCAGTACCTCTGAGCCTGAGTGGATCATGTTTTCCTAAAGTCATCTTAAAAGTGGTGAATAAGTTTCTGTTTCATCATGTAGAGGCATAAAGAGGTATATTGTGCCTCTGTTGAATTCAGTCTTAGGTAGTTCACTTAAATGTTGGGAGCTACTTTGTTTGAGAGCATTGTACCTGCTTAGAACATTGTACAAGCTACTCAAGATGAGGACTTTTAGTATTTTACTGCATATCACTTCAACTGAATCAGTTCTTGGACTTTTTCTTGGACTAAAAATAAGTTCTCATTCGATCTGGATCATCCAGATTTAGCAGCTACATGTTTATGTATCACAAGCTGTCCTTTGGGTTCGGTTCGAGAGGATGCATGTCACGTCATTGTCAGAAAACGACAAAACAAAAAGCCAAAAAAAGCCAAGGGATATACTTCTTGCCTAGTGACATTTCAAAAGTTGAGTATGTTAAATAATCTAAGAGAGAGTCTGAACACAAAGGCAGACCCTTGATTTTATTGAAGGGAACAAAAATGCTTGACCAGAGGGTGTTTTTGTGTGTATGTGTGTGGATGTGTGTGCACAGTTCGGATTTCTATTCAGTTTGCAAACTGAAGATCCTTCAGCAGAGCTCTTATCTGATTTATTCAGCACATAAAGTACAAAATCATCCACTTAAAGTATTAAAAAATGTCGTTCCATTGTAACTTCAGATGATAACTGGTCTGAAGTTGACCAAGTTTGTCGGATTTTAGCATTTAAAAGCCTCTCATGCTTCACTGCAACGCATCTGAAGTGAATAACAACTGACATGGCCGATGAATAATACAACTAGTGTATACATGCTCTTATCAATTATGGACAACTCCACCAAGCTGCAAGCTGACCATAAGGGTCTGTGACAAACATGCGTTTCTACCTGCGCTACCCAGCGAAGTTGATTCGGGACAGTCCTGTTTGAATGTCATGGTTGACTTTCGCAATGTTTTCTGCAGATTGTTTGGCGCCTCAAAAGGTCAGCACACAAACCCACAGCTCTAAATATTGGATAAAGACGGAAAAATGCATCTGCAGGGATATCTCTCAGGCGGATTGTGCAACATACATCTGCTACTCACTTCTGCAAGATAAATGAAACATCTGGAGAAAACTAAAAGGATGTATTTTTTGCAATGCCGTTCCCTCGTGAGAAATCTTGTTCTTGAAAGCAATCTCTTTTTGAGCATCATGCTTGTGGGCAGCTGGAAGAGTGTCCTGAAAGATTCCCCTAAGTTTGACTTCTTGAGGAATTGTGTTACTTTATTCATCACGCTTGAGGCACTTTAAATGATGCTTTTCGTCCGTGGAAGAGGTTTCCAGGAGTCCTGGTAGTGCATTGACCTTTTACTTTAAAAGCGGTGAAATGTTTTATGATTCACTCCCACACCAACCAACAAAAAACATTTAACGCTGCCTTGGTCAACGAGGCACGAGCAGTTCATATCACCTTCCTTTCCCATTAGGGATTCCACATGCTATATTCTTATCAGTGCAGACACATGGAGAGGGAGGTGTTAGAGACGGCAGCAGGATGTGACAGTTGCAAACCTGGAGCTACTGGCGGAGAGCTAAAATGAAGTGAAACATTGTGTGGAGGAAGGTAGGTGTGCGTGACACTAACCTGGAGCATGAGGTTCTGGTTACGAGTAAGGTTTTGTGGATAAACAGGATGGGTGGATATTGAGTTAGAAGTACAGGGGTTGTGTTCTTTAAAGGCCAGCATACTTGACCATCCAGTTGGAGCTATTGGTTTACTGACGAATTTGGATTTGAGTGAAAGAAACCTCTCAGTTGAGTTTGTTCAAATATGAAGAGGAGTCAAAGATCTGGACTTTTAGGACCCCAAATGATCAACTTATTTCACCAATTAATATGAAGTCTGGTCTGGTCTTGCTGGAGGATTCTGCCTATTTACGAAAGGTTTTCTTGTTGAGAGATGGCTCTCGTTGGAATCGTGGTATCTAAAGGCCCTATTATGTTGAAGTAGATAACTCTGGTATTGGTTTTAGTTATCAATGGTTGATTTAAGTGCTAGCCAAATTTGAAGGTGATTGGATTTCCCTAAGATGTTCCAATATGATAGGATGACCATATTCTGACTTCCAAAAAGAGGACACGACTAGGCGGGGGCAGAGTCATGGAGTCGCATGAAGTAAATTTTGAGAGTTTTCGGGTCGAATCAAGTGTCTTTTATGCGCTTCTAACTCAGTAAGTCCACGTGACACAAAATCGAGACTTGGGTACAAAACTGCAGACATTTGAAGGATTTTATGAACTTCCCCAGACAGAGCCGGACAGCCCGGAAATCCAGAGGACACGTCCGGGTAAAAGAGGACGTATGGTCACCCTAAAATATGACCCTCTTAAAATGCTAAATGAGGCAAAAATCTGTCATTCAAACTTTTTGCTGGGTTTGGGCATGAGTGCTAAATATGCCTGCCAAATTTTTATCCTTTATATGTCAATCCTTTCATGAGTCTTTTTTCAAAGGTGTTGCATGCTATCGCTAAAATATCAAATATCTCTCAAGGCTTGGTGCATGCTTGGAGTTTGGTGAGTTTTAGGGCATGATAAAGGCCCCTAATGAGCTATGTTGGGCATATCAGAGTAGGCTGTAGACCTGTTCATAAAAAAAAGTGTGAAAGCGAACTTTGTGAAGTGATGATTGGTTTCCTTTGACCACTTTCCAATTAAATCCTAGCACCTATTGCTGTGACACAGTTCAAAATTATTCAAGTTACTTTTTGAGTCCTTCACCTGTAATTCTTCAAAGCTCTGTTTCCTTTCTGTCCTAGATATTTCTGTCACTTTATAGATTCATTCCCTTTGTGCTTACGACAAGCGGCAGTTGGTGGTTTGAATGGTAGGACATCAAAAATGCCCCCTTTTGAAGTACTAACTATTTGCAGTTTGCTCAGATTACTCTCAGTTTTTAACACCCTCTCTGCCATATTTGGAGCCCAGCAGGGTTTCAAGCTAGGGGGCCTTGGCACCAGTGACTGCCAATGTGTCCAATCTTTTTCATGCCCAGCCAACTCCCCCACATTCCTGCTACAAAATCCTATCTCTCTGCTGAGGACTCGAGGGCTTGGCATTCAAATCCTGGCTCCCCAAGAGCCAAATTCTGGCGTCTTTCCACCTCCTTGTCTTACACTGCGGCTCAAGAAAATGAGTTTGAAAAGAGAGAAAGGAAAAGTGGGAAAGTTTGGAAAGGAGTGCGGGTAGTTTAAATGCAAGTCGAGGCATTTTATTTGCGTTGACCCCCTTTTATCCACCCTGGGGCGATTGGGCCGTATGAATGGGCTGGTTTGTTCTACGGGTGACCAAACATGGCACTTGAATGTTTATCTGCACAATGACAAAGCTTGCGGGAGCCAAAGACACTTCGTGATGAGATGGACCGTGAACTAGTCAAGTGGCCTGTTCTGTCTCTAAACACAGAGCTTTGGCTCCATTGCTGCTTTGGCTGTATTGGCATTCCAGTGCCTCTCAATAATCCACGCACTTGTGCCAACCACTATTGGAAAATGGGCTGGGAACCGACGAATCATCAACAAAAACTCACATTCAAATACAATATAGAAACTGATATTCATAAGCACAACTAAAACGATTACAATACTATAAAAACAAAGACTAAATCATCCTTTTTAGAGAGTCTTGGCGCCTAGGTGTGTGAAGCTGTACCAGTAGTCCAACACACGACTCAGCCACTGCTAGGCTTTACAACCCATTTGTAGAGAACAGCAAGCTCTGTAGTTCATGAAATAGTAAACAGAAATGCATAGATTAAGTAACATATTCCCCCTTTGGGTGCCATCAAGACCAGCTGAAAGTAAGGCTGATTAGCTGAGACGTAAACTTTAACAGGGCACAGCATAAAGGTTAAAGAAAGCTCCGAAGAACAAGGCGTCATGATTAATTAGTGTTCCTGAGTGTTATGCTATAGCAGATTAGCTCTACACCTCAAGATCTACATGGAGTACATCCTGGCTGGTGATTGCTGGTAACTGGTAGTATATAATTTCACAGAAAAATGGCAATTTTGGACAGCCCCTACTAGGGCTGGGTGATCAACCAAAAAATTTACAGATACTACCAAAATTTATGACAATAACTGATGTCATTTTACCCATCTCACTTTATTCAGTGTTAAATAAATAAATAAATAAAAGTTGGTTTTGGTTGTGTGGAGGTAGGCTATGGTTTCATTTTCCCTTAAGACGCTGTCCTACATCTGAGACTTGACTCCACCCCATCCAGTCTGTAACAAAGAGGGAAAGACAGTTGAGGAGATGGAGGACGATTCAAAAGTTGGAGCGGCTGGAGCGGCTGCTTAAGTAAACAAAGTTAATGTGGGAGGGGGGTGAGCAGCTTGTGGAGCAGTTATCGTGCATTTATTATTATGGAGGTGAACTGCTCCATATATCGTGATATTAATTTGTAGCCATATCGCCCAGCCCTATTCCTCTTTAATTGGTGCATCCGGTGATCCAACTTGTCAGTCCCATTCAAAAAGTGCGAGCAGGGCTTTTAAAAGCTCTAACATCCATATCCAACCAATCGATATCCTCTGGTCTATGACCTCCTTTACACACTAGCTGTGTCCCAATTTAGAGGCAGCTTCTCTGAACTCATGTAAAGACCCGGCCTCTGTAGGCTACAATGACAGCTAACGCCAAAGTGAAACAAGTTAATTATGCTGCTCCCATACATGTCCTTACATCCCCTTGTTCCGCCCAGTATGATCCTTTTTAAGATGTTAATAATGAATAAATGAATGACTGGTCAGTTTTTTTTTTAGAGTCTCTCCTAAAATTAAGATATTTGTTCCCCTGATTGCTGGAGTCAACTAAAACCAGTTTTTGCCATTAAAAAAGACCACCTAAATACAAAGACATAGTAGCTGACACCATTTGTTATCCAGATCACAAAATCTTCTTGTCTGTACAGCTTTGTATGCCATTGATTAATGCTGCAGACTGGCATGCATTCTGCTGCCTGTATCAATCGGCTTTTTGATTAGCTGAAGCTCCAAGTCAATGTCTGGCCTACAAGCAGAGGTGGATCGAAGTGTCCTCATTACGGTATCATAAAGAGGGGGAGCGGTGTTTGAGAGATATGTGGGTCCTTTTGGCAAGATAGTAAAACTCTGGGTCTCCTGACATGGTCTGACCACACAAGTTTTTCACCCATATCTGCCAGAGTGACCCCAAAATAGTACCACTTAGTCAGCATATGCGTCATAACCAGAGTTCCCAATAGAGCAAAAACACTAAAAAGATTATATCGTCCCAACAAAAATCCAGTACGTAGGCTTGTGAAATCCAAAGTGTATGAGACAGGATTTATTAGTGGTTATATAAAAGAATTGGGTTTGCGTGCTGACGGAACAGAACACAGCGGATGTTTACTGGAGATTTGATCCATTTCGGTCCACATTAGTCTCCTGGCTTGACCACAGAAAGAATGTGTCTGCCCAACAGGATCAGAGTCACTTAAATAAAAAAAGAAAAAGACACTCTGTTGTGGAAAACTGTCCTCGATTCATCGCTTGAGTGGAGAGCTCGATATTTTGAGGGGAAACCCAACTATTTAACGCTCCATCAGAACTCTAAAGGCCTCGCATGGACTGAATCCGCCTGTATACATGCTTAGTTGTTTTAAAGTGACAGCTTTAGTCGATGAAGAGCAGTGTTCTCCCCAAGGATCCCTGACAAGGTGACTCAGCACCATAAAGTGCCTTTTTATAGCTTTTCCCTGCAGGTATGATGTTCCAGTGTTGGGACAATGTCAAAGAAAACGCTTACCCTCTCTGAAAAAGCAACCATGCTGTTTTCTTCATATGAGGGCGGTGAGATCAGTGAGATATTTCCGATTAATGAGAAATTTTGCTGTGAGGTTAAAAAAGTTGTGCTTAAAAGTAATAAGTTATATAAAAAACTTTTCTTTTTTTGGAAGTGGAAAGCAGGTTTAGGGTCAAAACTTTGGAGTTAAACTGAAAGAAAAGACATTTTGCATTATAAATGCCTGCTAAAAAGATGGGCACTTTAACATGGGTGTTAATGGGACTCTCTTTTCGTTTTGAACCACCCTCAAGTGGACGCTGGAGGAATTGCAGTTCATTTTTGAGTTTGCTGCAGGGCTTTAAAAAGCTAAATGTGACACTGACCCAGTGATAGAGGGACCACTAACTATAATCAATCGTTCCTTGATGATCTGGTTTGCTTTTGTAGGTCATACGGAGGCATCTATATCAACTCTGCACAGTTTCAACGCAAAGGTACTTAGTTATTCCTTGATTCCCAATGCATGTTGTATTTCTAAGACTAAAATCAAGTTTTTTGAAAGCAGAAAGTGAGGAACTCTTTATCTGTGCATTGAAAAGCTATGGTGTCCACCACAGGATCCACACTTGTTCTAACAAGCTGGTCAATTTGTAGTTTAAGCAGTGTTGACCCCCCGCTGTGCGCCCGGGTTGATTGATCCATTCAGTCCTTACGAGAAGCTCCATCCTAAAGCAGATTTGTGAAGCACAGGGGGGTGATGCTCTTTCCAAGGAAGGGTCAAAGACTTGAAGAGAAATGGATGGACTCCTTTGTGCAAACAGATAACACACGCTGAGATGTACAAAGACGTGCATGCCAAGAGTGAGTAATGCAAGATCACTAATGGTCTTATGGATTGCTGTGTTTATTATTGAGAGCAGAAACAAAACGCACTCACAATCACGTACACACAGACAGTCTGCGATGCCTCCGTGTCTAAACTTTGCAGAAGTGATGTGGAGTTTTATTGATCGAACCTTTGAGGGCTGTGTGCGAGCGTGTGAGTGTGTTTGCGGGGCTCGCGGGCTGGCAGTGCTGGTGTTAGAAGAATAAAGACGAGGTGTCGGCTCCGCCTGAGGGGACAGCTCCGGCTCGATAGAAAAATAAGACACGTAGAGAAGGCGAGGAGCCATGTTGGAAGCAAATGTCATTGGCTTTAAGGAGCTTTGTCCCCTGGCATGCGGCTCATCGGGCCAAAGAAAGTACCCGAGTGCGTGTCTGACTGTCTGAATTAGAAGTGACCTATACTTTTTAAAGTGCCTCCTGAACCTCGTCTGTGTTTCTTTTCTTTCTGCAAGAAAACTTATTAAAGTTTCAGTTTGTTTTCAGGCAGTAATACAACACAGCTCACAACTTTTCTCGCTTCTTCTCTGATAAGTTCGAATCAGGCTCAGAGGAATAAAACCTTGTGCTTAAATCGAGATTTTCTGAGCTTAAATAAGATCTCCCTCAGCCTCCCACAAACTAAACATTTCAGTTTTTATCATTTCACTGCGTGTAGGAATTGTCCACCATCTGTGTGTTTTAATTAAAGGCTATATAAGAAGCGAACTGGGATGTCACCTGGCTTAATTTTGGCGCTTTTACCATTGCCGTCTTGATTTTTTGAAGCAACGATGAGTCATTGACGGATTATCTTGGAAGGAACCCGCCAATTAGAAGAAGCCATGAACATGTCCATAAAAGTGCTAAAACTGCTCAAAATAATGAATGTCGCTGGGAAACATTAAGTGTCTGCATTAATTAATCTATAGCCTATATTTCGACTTTCTTCCTTTAACCAAATCAAATCATTTACCTTGATTATCTTGGGCTATACTCTCCGCTTCGTACATCGGCGGACTGCAAACATGGATGAAAGCTCTTTGGGGATTTGAACGGGGTGTTAGGGACTGCTTGAACAAGAACTATAGCGACAACTTATAAAGTTGCAAATTAAATGGCATAACACCCACCAAAGACAGAAGATTTAACATGTATAATTTGATGATTATAGCTCTGTGTGTTTGAGGCGCCAACGACCATGTTTCAACCACGGCGGCGATGCAGAGGCAATTGAACTGTGTGACCCCACAACTTAAAGGAAGTTGCCCCGCTGCAGTAAAAGCTTTAAATGTTGGTTACACCAAAGTACACCCAGATTTATTCATGATTATTTATTTATTAATCACCAGGCTTACTTTAGCCAGACTTTAAAGCGGCAATCGAGAACAACGTTTTATCAATAAGTATTAAGATTTATTTGGAAATGTGAATGTAGAGTCATTTTCTTGAAAATGACCCCTGCTAGCAAGAAAATAAAATGAATCTGCAACATGTTACAGGCTTCGATAACCATGTGTATAATATTTTAGTATTTGTGCGTCACTTTTTCTTTTTGAATTTTAACCACTGTACTAGAGTAGGGTGACTATATTTTGACTTACCAAAAAGAGGACACGACTACGTGGGTACGGAGACACAGAGTCGCACTCAGTTAATTTTGAGAGTTTTTGGGGTCGGATCGGGTGTCTTTACGCGCTTCTTTCTAAGTAAGTTTATGCAACACAAACTCGAAACTCCTGTATAAAACCGCAGACATTTGAAGAATTTTATAAACTTCCCTGGACAAAATAATAATAATGCATCAGATTTTTATAGCGTTTTTTGTCAGTGACCTCAAAGCGCTTTACATTGGATACACCATTCATTCACTCACACAGTCATACCTTGGTGGTGGTAAACTACCTTTGTAGTCACAGCTGCCCTGGGGCAGACTGATGGAAACGTGGCTGCCAGTTTGCGCCTACGGCCTCTCCGACCACCATCACACAACACTCACATTCATACACCAGTGGAGGACACACACACTGGGAGCAAGGTGGGTTAAACGTCTTGCCCAAGGACACAACGGACAGACTAGGGACAGGAAGGGGCTCGAACCGCCAACCTTCCAGTTATTGGCGAACCACTCTACCTCCTGAGCTACTGCCCGGACAGCCCCCGAAAAAGAGGACATGTCCGGGTCAAAGAGGATGTATGGTCACCCTACACTAGAGCAGTGCATCAACAGCTCATATTCATACAGTTATTGCACATCACATATACTGTATTTCTTACATCATCAGGCCTAGTCCTTTCCTTTGGATGGATGCCACCTTTACCCTCCTTCTCCAGCTATGTTCACAAACGTGAATTACTGACTGGATCAAGCCACTAAGAGACCAGTCTTAGATGTTGATTTGTGGTGGTTTAGACAAGCTGGACAGCAGATTATGTCTTCAAGAAGCCAAATCCCACTAAAAACTGGAGATCAAGGATTAGTAAAATAACACCTGAGCCCCATAAGACTGGATTAATAATTCACCCCATTAATGATCCAGCTGAGACCATCATTTATTCCATTTATAATTCATTGCTGTCTTAAGCAGTCGTCACAGTGTATGAAACCCCCTCTTGAGCTTCATACATTATGTATGTTGTTTGATTAATGCTCTGGCTTTCCATTCCACTCGCTGACTTTATACTTCATACGCGCGGCTTAAGCTAGCATCCATTTCTTTTTATGTGCATTGACAACGCATATAACTTTTCTTTCAGTGTGAGCAAAGTGAGTTGTTTCTTCTGCCTACTCCTTGCATTAGTGTGTGTGAGTGTGTCAGGCCCATAAATCAGAGTATTTTCTAACTGCCAGAAGGACTATAGTACATTAGCTATTGCAATACATTAACCACGCACGCACACACACACACACACACACACACATCCAAAAGCAGAGCTGCACTCCACTGCGGGGATGAGGGCTGGGGAGGTCGGGGAGCCTGACTCTCACTTATAACTTATTCATGCTTCACGCCTCGGCTCGGCACACCTGGGAGAGAGTCAATTTTTTTCACAGCGGGGAGATTCATCTGAAGCCACAGTATGTGACTTTTAAATAACAAGCGGCTCCTCAAACTTTGTCACTTACTATTTTCTATTACTTCCTTCGGGTATCTGAGTGACAAAGTTGCACTTTAGTTTGTTCCCAAGCTGTGTCGTGGTGTTATTAATACGTTGGAATTGGTGGCCCAGCTGGAGCAGTTTCAGGCTCGGCTGATTGAATCATCGGCATTGGACGGGAGGAGATTCAACTTTAAAGGTCACAAGTGTGGGATATTAGATATTTCTTCCAGTCTGTAAGGAACAGGCACTTTTTTTAGTACTGCTTCTTAATCAATATAACCTGACTATAATCATACTCAAGGCAGGAATGAGCTATATAAATGGATCGAATAGATTATCAATCAATCAATAAAGGGCATTTTTGTGTTATTCATTATTCTGGATACTTCAGTTTCTGGGAAAAACAAGCAGTGGTGGTAAGATGTGAAATTGAGCATAGAGAAGAAAGTAATGGGCAGAATGGCGTCTCCACTGTGGATGTTTTTCGCTGTTTCTGAAGAGAATAAAAAGAGATGGGAACCAAAACCAAGTTTCAAGTACCGTCAGTAATCATTTCCCTTTAATGCTTATGGTCCCCTTAATGGTGCCGTCCAGTAAGTTCCACAATAAGTGACATATGACAAGAGGCAGCCAACGCCAATCAAGGAGTCAATTCATGATGGAGAGAAAAAAGGAGCGGTTCAAAAAAAGTAAAATATCATTGCATTTACAAATTCACCTTTTTTAATTTAATAATACAACATTCTGATTCATTCTAAAATCTACTCACTTTGTGAGACTGGCAGCTTTTTAGCAATAAACGCAGTGTATCTCAGAAAAGTTCTGTGATTTTTAGAGACCGTCTGAATCACATCACTTAAAAACAAAAGCAGTTTTTGTTGAGTTATGTACTGATATGAGCAAAGTTTCTGATATTAGTCGGAACTGATTCCAGCTAGTTCAGTCGTCAACATCATTTGCCTTTAAGCTGAACAGTTTCCTCATTGAAACCTCTAATGTAGTTGTGTGTATACCTTGCAAAACAATGATGTCATGCATTGCAAAAGGGAGTCAGTGCAATCGCCAACAAAGAAAGAAATTATGACGGACGAAAGGTCGTGAAAAGCATGGTAGGAGGTATGCTAATGCTCTAATTGAATAGCAACCCTTTGGATTTAATTATAGTTATAGTTGAAAAGCTAATATGACTATTCTTTGCTGCAGAATGAAAACATAATGACCCTCCTTTCAGCGTAAACGACACTTGCTTTTACCCTAAAGGCAAAGAGACCTCTTCTCATCACACCCTCATTTCACTCAGTGCGAGACAGCACCTATATCGCACTTACCTCAGTGTGAGAGTTTAATGCATAATGGAGATGCATAGAGTAGCGCATTAGTTAAAAGACAAAGCCAACTGTGTGTGACAGCGACTGCCCAAGAGCAGGTTGTTGCTCTGAAGAAGTGAAGCGTGATACTCGGTGACTTTAAATATGCAGCGAATTTGCACTGTTGTCGCGCTATACCTTCAAGACACAAGCCTTCATACTCGCTAATACGCTATGGCACGTATCGGTCAAGTAATGATCCCGTCCCTTTTGTACATTTGAACATTTGCTCTGATTAGAAAGTCTAATTTTACGAGTCATTAGGATGGACCCGTTTGGCGCTCCGGATCTAGACGGACATTTTTGCGCTTTGTTGACCTGGATTGCAGGGGTTATGTATTTTATAGGTTGAAGACTGGCACACCAAACAACATAGAACAGCTGTCAGTTACCAATGATATTTTTTCTCTTTTGTACAAGCTGAAAATGAACTGAAAGCTGAATCAACAGCAAAGATTAAAAACCCAGATTTCTACATTAGGGAGTCAGGGGATTTTGTTTTCCACAAAGATCAACTTTCAGCGCAACCTCAGAGGCAAAGATTTTTTTTTAACAGCTGCTTAATTAAAGCGGATTTGAGTTCATTTTAAAAGCATTTTTCTCTGAAAAGTTGAATTTATTACCCTTCAATCTCTTCACCGCCTACTTGAGAATAAATTGTGGCTGTTTTGACACTCATAATTGTTTTCCAGTCGACTTTTATGCTAATGCAGGGCCCTAAATTTCCCGGATAGGTCTTACTCCGGGATTGTGTGCTGTTGTCATGGCGAGCCAGCTGGTGTTGGTTCGGGGCGAGGGCTAGCAGCGAGGACGTGACTCTTTTAGTGACAGTTTGAGGACACATTGGGCCCGCTGACAGCTAATGATGATGCTTCCTGACACCCGTATGTATGCATGAGTCCATCTGTGTGTATGTGCTTACATTATAAGAGTGTGTGTGTGTGTGTCCTTGTGTAGATGTGCTTTTGGGCATTTCTGTGTATGAGAGGAAATTTGCATTAGCCTGGATGATACTGTGTTTAATTTCTCTGCTGTGACAGGAAATAACCTTCAGCTTTTGGGCGTTTTTTTGCGAGTGTGTTTGAGCATGCATAATGCACAACATCGCTAGAGGAACTTTGTGTGAAATCCAACAAGAAATACACTCCCCTTTCCTGTCCTGTGTGATGTTTTTGTTGCAGCCACTTTGACGTCATTGTTAAAGAAGGGCAGAGATAATCACACTCACTGTTGATTCATAGTTTATTCTCGCCACTCTGACCCCGGCTGCCTCTTATTCCTCGTACGAGCCGAAGTGAATCAAGAGATTTCTGACCCCGCGCGTACTCTGACTCACGGTAAAGCTTGAACTCATGTGCGCACCGTTTCTTTTTCAGGAAAAAGTCTCGTGGTCTGCACGCTCTGCAAGCACCTGAGGAGATATTTGTGGAGGTTAACTGTCGGTTCATGTTCACAGAGAGAAATGATTTCACACACACACAGGACTCCTCTTTTTCCATGTCCGTACATTCACCTTGTAAACTCATATTATGAGTAATGTTTTCAGCGCTTGCAGCTATTTTCAGAGCAGATTTAAAGGGACAATTCACAGAAATATTTGTATTAGTTTTTGGCATAGCTAGAGGACTGATTCTGTTGAAAACCAAAGTGCTAAATCACTTGAATAAAACGCCAACAGACCCTTTCATCTGCATACAAATACACAGCTCCTAAAAGCAGACTGTTATACTGTCGCTATGATGTTTGATTTTAGAGTATTTCACTTTTTCGAGAATCGTTTTGGCCCAATAATCTCATCCACAGGTATGACTTATTCCGCTACTTACAGTCAAACAAACAGTTTTGGAGATACATTAGCATCTGTACTCTATGTTATGTTACACTGACCTTTTGTAAGTTCATTTCTAACATAATTAGCTTTTAAATGTCAGTTTGGATGATACATTTAAAGACCCACTTCGGTGAAGATCATGTTTGTCTTGTTTACATGTTCATATGGCATTTTTTCTGATGCTACAGGACATATCATGAGAAAAGCATTTCAAATCGCCGTCAATCTCTGGCAGACCCAAGAGGCAAGGTCGGAAACAGTGAGATTTCCTACATCACAACTGCAAGCTCCGCCCCCGGAGAAACAAGCGTGTGCATTAGCAAATTGCAATACTCGTAAGAAAGTTAATTATGATACTAACTTTCAGATTCAGATTCGGATTTATTGTGGAGTTGATTTTCAGATTTCAGATTGGATTGTTCTTTACAAATATACAAATACATTCTTCTTCTCCAAGGTGTAGGCTGAAGCCCATGGCTTATTTTGCCTACCCTTATCACTCAATTTTGCTTCTTTAAGCTATAGAAGATGTGCAAGGATACTCTGGAAAGAAAAACAAGGAAACAGCAAGAAAAAAAAACAAACAAAAAAAACAATCAGCAACGAAGATCTACACCTGTAAATAATGATAGTTTATAGTATCTCTATACTTTTTAATCGCCTTATTTTTAAACACTTTTTTGAATCCATATAATGTACTGCACATCCTTAAGTCCTTATCACAGCATTGCCACAAACTTTCCCGTTAAACGGTTATACAATGTTTTTTGGTATTGGTTCTAGTCCAATTTGGTTTGAACATACCTTTGTTTCTAAGATCATTTTTGTTTTCTTTGGTTTCAAATAGCCTCTGAAGACAGGATGGAAGGAGATTGTTGTGGGCTTTGTACAGGACAAGTAAAGTTTGAAGATTAACTATGTCCCAGAATTTCAGCACATATAATTTATAAATAAGGTGTTGGTAGGCTCACAGTACAGAACTTACATGTCCCTAAAGACATTAGTGCCTGAGAGCTGAATAGCTCCTATGTTACCTGCCTCTTTTACTACACCAGCAATGTTAGGCTACAAGTTAGTTTTCAGACAAGTGTTTAGAGCAGCGTTGTTTCTGAACACGACTCAGAGACGAATTGCTAATGATCTACTGGAGCTCTGCAGAAGAAAAGCTCTTGAAAATGATACAGGTAATGTGATTTTTGGTAAAAACTTCATAATCACAGTTTAAAGACCATTGAGGACACTTTAAGAAGTAACAAAAATGATCAGAGTGAGACTTTAAAGGTTGAAGCTTGTTGTCTTTCTGAGTTGAGATATCATAGAGGGAGCTGTTTCACTGTGGTTTTCACCTCCACACCATTTCAAAACGACCCAAACAGAGAAAAGAAGAACAACTCAATTTATTGTTTATCACCTCGTCTTCTTTATCTGCTGCCCTCCCAACCCCTCTCCCTTTATCTCACTTAATCTGTCTACTCCCTCTCCCTCCTCTGCCTCCTTTCTCTCTTAAAAAAATCTGTTTTCAGGGTTTTTTATGGATCACTTTCTCTCCGATAAGATCGTGTTTTTCTCGGAGACAGGTAGCCCACAGCTTCCACAACAGAGTCGACTCTCACACACTAAATTGCTCTGAAATACAACAACTTTTTGAACAACTTCTATCCCACTTTTCTTCCCCTTTTGACCCCAGACTGTGCTTCAAAGCAGCTGCTGCGTCTGTGCTCGGCTGGTACCAGCTGTACATCTTCCCCTCGCTGATTGAAACCAGCGCTTTACCGCCCGCATGAGTTCTCGCTTAGAAGGCCAGGGGTCGCTTTGAGGGGAAATGTGTTTGGCATTTTCTGGACGGCCCGTAGCTGTGACTACCGAGTACTTTAAAAAGGTCACAAACATCTTTTTTTCTTCGGTGCCAGGAGTGAGACGTGGTCACACTCTGGAGCAAAATGTATGCAAGAGAAACAAGTCTGCAGGATCTCCCATCTTCCCATGAGTCATGCAATATGAATGTATGTGTAATGTTCAGTCCGAGATAGAGATCAGTGACTGAGGGGGTTTTTAAGATGCCGTATATCTCAGTCGTAAAGATGCCTAAGAGTGCATATATGCTGATGGAAGGGCTGCTTAAATGTAAATGTGTAAAATATGAGTGTCCAGATCAAAGACTCCCAGCCTGAAATGATGCAAAGCCTAAAATACACGTCCATTTGCATTCACTCCACAAGCACTGATTGAAAACAGTGTTGTGGTCAGATTTGTCCGTGCGTTGGGTGTAAATCCTACAAATCCCAGACTACCCACTGCGTCTGTGCCCTCTGAAAGGCCTCGGTCACGACCCTGCAGTGCTTTATCCCCGTAATGGTCTCAACCAGAGATGGGAGACGAACTCAGGCGCATTCCGCTCATTCCTCGGTCGTTAAAAATAAGACCTCTCTAAACTCAGAAGAGGACCAACTTCACGAATTCAGAGAGTTTGAGGTTTAGACGGGGCTGTTTTTGCAGCATTTCACAAAGACGTGTAGCCACTGAGATGAAAAAGAGGCTTCAAGATGTTTATTTTACTTTCTATGGCTGAGCTTTTACAACCTCAACTCCAAGAAAAGTCGGGATGCCGTATTAAATATTCGATTTCGATGGGCTGTAAAGCATTCAAACCATATATCCGATTTAGTATAGAGCAAAAACAACCTATAAAACGCTGAAATGGGGGGAAAAAAGCACTCCAGAAAGGCTGAAACGATCCATCACTTTGAGAGACTGTGAGAACAATTTAAGGATAGCATCAATCACTGTTCAAAAGGAACGAGGCTGATAACAAATACTTATGAGTCCATCATCTTCAGCATTAAAAACACATGACTCTTAAGTGAAGATCATTGCTGGGGCTCAAAATAATAATAATTACAGGAAGAAGATTGAAGTTGAAATTTGGAGATTAAAGTTAAAATTTTGAGATTAAAAAATAGAAATTATGTAAATAAAGTTGAAGTTTCAAGCTTAAAATCTAAATTTCGTGAGCAAAGTCAATATTTCAGATTCAAAATGTCGAAATGTTGTGAATAATGTAGAAATTTCAAGATTTAAAAAATTAAAATATTGAGATTTAAGTCAAAATTTCTAAATTAAAATTGACATTAAGTCAAAATTTCAATTTTTAAAAATTTCTACTTCAATTCTGAAATTTTGACTTTAACCTCGAAATTAAATCTAGAAATTAAAAAAAATCTCCCTGCTGTATTTATTTATTTTTTCTCTTCTTGTGACCCTAATCCTCTTTGGTACAAAATGACTTTCTGAATTGGCTTCCTGGGGGAAAAAAAAAAAAAGTAAAGTATTTACGGAAGAAAAAAATCTTTGTTTATAAGAAAATTTCAAAATTTAATTTAAAGTTGACATTCATTTTGGAAATCTTGGATGCTGACTGGAACCGGAACCGCAGCATCCATAAATGCTGAGCAAAAACAGGTTTTGAGTGAACAAGTGTTGCCATTCATTGGGGATATAAAAAGTTATTGAGTATATGTGAGAAAACTGATGAGCAAGTTTTTCTAAAATGTGCCACAAATGGATAAAAACCCTTAACGCAATGCCTTGGAGTGAACCGAGAATTAATTCAACACCCCATCTAGCTCTTCATTATATCTGAGTCTGCTTTTATGCTTGAGAGAGCAGTAAAATGAGAACTGAGACTTTTTTCTTAGATGTGCTAAATCATTAGAAAATCTACCATAGACAGAAAAAGTTTTAAATGTTTTAACAGTTTAGTTCAGGAGTATAACTGCTGTTTCTATCATTTCTTTGTTGCACTCATGTAGATTTCTGTTTCAGGGTGTCGCCAGAAAGATCCTAAGTATCCAATGTACCAGGCGGATTGAGTCATTATAATTCTGAACTCAATACCCTCTCTCTCGCTTTCTCTATTTCGCACAATGTCATTAGAAGCACGACCGAAAATCACCAGAGGCTAGACGGGAACATATAGTTCAAGGTGAAAGGCAGCCTCTCGACTTTGCGGTAACGAGGTAGAGGACGATCGACAAAGCCTTCAGCTGCTGCGTCTGCCGACACGCTGAATGAAGAGGCCTCGCGTGTCTGTGTGCTTTCATTCTGAAGAGTGCAGTTGGATAACCTCCAAGGGTGAAAATAACTGAAGACCTGCTCGTACAATGACTGTACAGAATCTCCCTCTGCATTATGGCATTAGAGGGGTAATGAAGTTCTATCTGCAGGGGGTCAGATGTGGAGGAACTCTGCTCAAATGGAAAGAAAATGGACTATAAGTGTCTTTGAACGCACAATAGAAAAGCTGCAAAAACATATTAATATGCCAATTTTGGAGCATTTGCTGCATTCAAAAGAAGCATGCTGAAAGATATGGTTAGGACGGACTTTTATAACCAACACTATTACTCCATAGATGGCCTTTTGCATCTAGATTTGAAATGTCTACAATAGGATTTTGGAGAATTTGCTTCTTTCAAAAGAAGCATGCTGAAAGATATGGTTAGGACGAACTTTTACAACCTTTGGAATGGTATGGGTGAGGAGCTAAAACGACGTCCAAACATAAAACAGTTGAAAACAAAATATAAAGAATATGTTGTCATGGGATACAGGGATGTACATTTATAGTAACTATTATCATTATCGTCATTGTTTTGTGGTTTGTTGTTTATTTTCACTGTGGTGATTTTTGTTTTTTAATTTTTTATTGCTATTATTACTATGATGATTAATATTATTACATAATGACATATATGATATATATTGAAACCATTAGTGTAGATAAGGGATGGGACTCGACTTCTTCCCACTCCTTTTTGAACTCAAATAACTTTTTGTCATTTGTTGTTGTATTCTTTACTTTTTTAATTGTCATTTCTTTTTTTATGTGTTCAAAATAAACTTCATTACTTCTTCATAGATGGCCTTGCATCTAGATTTGAAGTGCCTACGATAAAATGTTGGAGTGTTTGCTGCGTTCAAAAGAAGCGTGCTGAAAGATACGATTAGGACAGACTTTTACAATCAACATTATTTCTTCATAGATGGCCTTTTGCATCTAGATTTGTAATGTCTACGATACAAAGGGTTCCTACGCAAGTATGGAAGTAATTTGATCTATTTCCAGGTCTTAAAAGTACGGAAAATTAAAAATAAAGTATGGAAAAATATTTATGTTTCCAGACTATTACCCCAGTTCTAAAATACTGTTTTCTACAATAGAAAAGTAGGTTTTTCCAAAAATACAATAAGTAGGATATGGGAAAGTACAGAAATTCCAACTGTGTAGAGACCCTGGATACAGAAGAGCTTGAGTGTGTAGAAAGATCTTGACCTATAATTGCAAAACTTTGTTCGCTAGCCGCTCAAGATGTGCTCTCTCCTTTGATAGTTGGCGCTTTTTTATCCCGTATTCATATTATGTTAAGAATTAGGATGCAGTTATATTAGGATACAGACAGAAGCAGCTTTTTGTTTTTCTTCCTTTTTCAATCCGGCTTCATTCGAGCCTTTTCTGTCCTTTTGAGGTGGTAAAGGAACAGTGTACGTTACGGTGGACTCGGATTTAGCGGTCTTGCTCTTGCAGAGAACTGACCCCGAGATGGAAACTCTCTCCTTGTGTTTTTCTCCAGAATAACATTCTTCTGCTGCAGCCTCACCTCGACTGATCCCACACCAACCACCGCCAGCAGCAGCAGCAGCAGCACGGACACACAACCAAAAGGCCTGAAGAAGATATTACAGGCATGCAGAAATACAAACAAACAAAGCGCTACCAACCCAGAAGCAGTTTTCTTGAAATTCTTTGAAGGAATTCGCCAAAATAAGAACTCAATTGAAAATGTTAGAGCCAAAATTGGTAGAGGATTGTTTTCATCAATCCTTAACATTTTATTCCACTGAAATAAATCAGTTTCGGCGTTTCGGCGTCTCCAGTTTCGGACACGCTTTCTGGAACTTACCAGACCCAAACAAATGGCTTATTTTGATTTCTAAAACCAAAGTTTAGGAAAGTATCATGCTGTGTCTGGTTCTGCAATCCCACAGTTAAGTACACAGGCTGAAAAGTTAGAGCTGTTTCCAACTCTACACTTTCAACTATATGATTCAGCCCCTTAGGGCAAGATGTTGAGGATTATTCGGGATCAAGCTACCAATGTGAATCCTTCTTCCAAAGCCTTCCAGATCATATGGACTGTCGACTTGTGAATAATGGTAGAAGTGGGTGATTTTCCCTTTTTTGGAAGAGGCTTATGCTGCTTTTTCGTTCTGCACAATTGCCAGGCCTATGAGCAACATCCACAGTGAATCAGATATGACAGCGAGAGATGGTTGCACAATGAGACGGCCGATGAATGCGGAAGATTTCGGATCAAAGATTGCATTGATGGGACGGCTGTGTGCGCTTTGTGTGGGAGAGTAAATCACCGACTTGCATCTTGGAGATTAATTTAAGCTGCTTTCCTCGTGGGCCGCATAAAAACAGGGAGGGGGGTTGTTTTCATGGGTGGTGTCCAAAAACAGCTGAAGTTTCAAGGTAGAGAAAGAAGAGACAGCAGGGAGACATTGAAAAATGAAAGAGGCTGAGCTGGAGCTGAAGACATGTCAGAGAGGCAAGAGCCAGGACACGTGAAAGATGATTCAGCTTTATTTACTGTAACTTAAGAGACTCTACATCAGACTTTGTGAGGATTTGAGTCATCGCACGGCGCATTTATTTACTCTGAGTTTGTTGTGTGAGAATTCAAATGCTTTAATTTGCCAACAGACAACTTTAAATTCGTGACTTGACTAGAAATTCAAAGTGGCTGTGAACTGAGGTGGAGTTACAGCAAATTTAAGGATAATGGTTGTCAAAATACTCCTTTATTATAATAGGTAATTTAGCTTGGATATTGTTACAGAGGCTGTATATGGATGTTTCCTAATTGAAATGGATGGTCTGATAACTAATACACTCCAGGTTAATATCATGTTAATGGTTTTAGTAGTATTAAGTTGTCTTATATCAACTATGCTAATTTGTAGATTCATTAAGAACACATGCTTTTTGTTTTTCTTTTGCTCCTTCACTGGTGACGACTACAGCCACTCAAGATTGAAGTTTCAGGGCCTATGTCCATTGATAAATTCTTGTTCTGTCCACTGTCTTACACTCTCAAATAAAGGCAAAAACGCCTCAAAATAAAACCTAATAATACAAATGAGTTCAAATAACTGACAGAACAAATGTATTTGCATTTCAAAGACTGGAAATTGTGCCTTGTGAAATCCAGTGTGATAATTTTCACCTCCAATCAAACCTCCACCACTGTTGTTATCAAAGTGGACACTAAAGCTCCGCCTATTTACTTTATTTGTGATAAAATTTTCACTTTTCTTTAGAAAATTACAAAACATACGCATTAACAGTAGAAAAACAACAATTGCAAAATTCCAAAACAAACCAAGAAATCACATAAATCAAAATGGAAACAGGCCCTTAAATTTAAAAAAAAACGCCACAAGTCCCGCCCCTTTCTTGATTAGCTGGTAAAATACAAACAAAACTTAAGACTTATTTCCAACTAAAGGTTCTTACACACCGGGAACAACGCAAAATTACAAAATGTTCAGAGGCGAATTTTGACGCACCTGACTATACACATCAAGCACGTGTATGCTCTCTGTTGGATATACCGGTGAATCTGACGTCGCAACAAAACGCAATCTGATTGGTCAAAAGTGGACATATAGTATGCAAAACTTTAGAAAAATCGACTGTGATATGAAAAAATAAATGCCGCAATATCACAGGACAGGAAAACGTCGCTGATGTGAACGCTTGTATTGACAGAATACGGGTTCGAAAAAAAATATTGACGTCCGAAATAGTCACACAAAAAAAAATATGCTCCCGGTATGTAAGGACCTTAAGAGTACACCAAAAAAAAAAAAAAGAAAAGAAAAGGCTGAAAATACTGAAACGCTCAAGTAACTTTTTTCGGGTTTTTTTTGTTTGTAGCTAATTAGTGCAAAAAAATTAAGTTGTAAATGGACACAGGCCCTTATGCGTGCACATAGCTAGAACACAGACTTTCTGGTTTTGAGACAGACTCCAACAGGGATTTTAGTCACCATTTGTTTTTAGGGATCTGGGGAACAATAAGGTAACTGCAGAGACACAAGGCTCTGTTTAACTCCAAGTAAAATGGAGATAAATGTCATTGCATGTCCGGGATTATTAGCACTTTGCCAGCGGGAGGTTCACTATTTGCACAACTGCATGCATGTGAATATACCCACATATGTTTTTGCATTCTAGCCAGCACATTATGAGGAAGTAGACATGCGCACATAGTTAGTCACATAATTCCTGTGTGACACATCTGACTGCAAACTCATACTTGTGCATAGACTCCGCCCCCTGTGGTCCAGTGATTGGCCTACTTAGAGGCAGGGCAGCCCACTGGCAGATTTGAATACAGAGAGACAGAGAAGGGAGGGATGGACAGAGAGGAGGAGGAGGAGGAGGAGGGGAGAAAGAGCGGGGGGCGGTGCACTAGTTTGCCCCTGCTCTCTCTCTCTCTCTTTATCTCTCTCTCTCGCTCGCTCTGTGCGCCGGGTCAGGATGGAAAGGCTTACACAGGCAGGGGAGGAAACATGTCATGAGAGGTGATGACACAGAAGCAGAGAGATATCCAAGTTCACCGCTCGCCGCTGCCGCTTCTCCCGCTCCTGCTGCTTTTTACTGCGTCCCACAGAGGAGAGAGAGAGCCAAAGATAGCCTCCGTCCTCTCTCACCCACCTCTCTCTCTCTTCCTCTCTTTCTCACTTTGTTTGTGAATGATGGGATTTTAATCATGTGGAAGGTAAGAAGAAGAAGAAGTAGGAGGAAGAGGAGTGTGATTTTTTGGGTGTTTTATGTCTACTGTGTATAAGGAGTGGGAGGTTGTCTCTGTGGGACTTTGTATTCCTCTTAGTTTACTTAAGTCTGCGAGTCCCGGGGGGGATTCCTGCATGCTCTCGCCCTCAATCTCAGCTCTGACTGTATTCTCAGTGGAAATAAGGAGTAGGAGCGATGAGCGCCAGTATTGCTGGAATGATAATGATAGAGCCGTGGCTTCGGGAGTCAGCCAATGAGTGTGGTAGAGCCATCTGTATCATGGTCCAGGAAAACTTCTGCGATTTCTGAAACCATTTCTGCTGGCTTTAATGATAATAAATGAGCTGTTTGGAACAATTACCTTGAAATATCTTTGAGTTTCTTGCTTTGGAGGAACTTTGGTCCCCTGAAATTCTTGTTTCTATTAAGAGTCAAGACTGATTTCTGCTCTGCTTTAAATAAAGCCGCACACATAATGTTTTGTGCGCACATGTTTGCGTAAATGTGGGAGAGTGTGAGGAGTCGCATCGCATGTGAGAGTCTGTTTTGTGTGACCCAATTTCAAAGAGCCACTGTGTGTGTTTTGGTGCTAGCTTGAAGCCCAGGGAGCATAAAGACAGGAGACAGCGCCTTGAGGGATGCTTCAAAATGTGTGCGTACTTCAGTGGCTCTGAAGGTCCCAAATACCCAATAGGTGGTGTTGGCACCAGCGCATACAGTATCAAGGGTTGTACCCATGTGCTGTGCATGGCTCAGGTTGTTCTTTGAGTCCCCCCCAGAGGTCCGATTATTTGATTTCACAGCATTTCCCCTGTGCTCGAGTGAGTTCGCTTCATATCTGTTCATGTGTGTATAAGTGTGCGTGCGTGTCATGTGTGCTAAAGCGTGTATGTGTGACAGCTGGCTGCCACAGGGGGCTCAGTGTGTTTACTGATCCTTCTCACCTGCTACGAGGGTCACAGGGATCAAGGAAATCCAGGTCTAGTGGTCTGGGAGACAATGGGAAACTCAGGAAAGGAAGGAAACTGTACTGTGACGGTGGTTTATGCTACACGGATACAACTCTGACCAAAGCATGGTAATGCATTCATGAGTGGCGTGTGCAACTTTAGCTGCAGTTATGCTGGATTTTAGTCCTAAAAGTTACTTTTTTTCAACCTCAAGTTTGTGGAGAGGCTTCAAACTTTTGGGTTTGACGGAAAAAAAGTTAAACTTTGAATCACAGTGTATGTAAATAAATTAACTTAAACTTTTTTGGCTTAAATTTTGATGATTTAGACTCATAGCAAATACATAAAAAAAAAAAAAAAACTTCTCAAAAGGAGGTCTGTTAATCTTAAAATACTTCTCTAAAAACTCCTGGTAGTTGCCAAGCTGGCCAATCAAGCACGTTAGTATAGTCAGCTAACTATTTGGTGGAAGTTTTGGCGTTGTGGGCAGGTGCTAAATTATCAAACTTCAAGCCAAAATTAAAAGTTAAAGACAAATTGAATTTAATTAAACTTTTTTTTGGCTTGAAGTTTGATAATTTAGGCTCATAGCAAATACATTTTTTAAAAACTTTGGAAAAGTATGTCTGTTTTTCTGAAAAAAAAAAACTTCTCTAAAAATATCTGGTAGTTGCCAAGCTGGCCAATAAAGCATGTTAGTATAGTCAGCGAACTATTTGATGGAAGTTTTGGCGTTGTGGGCAGGTGCGAAATTATCAAATTCAAGCCAAAAAAAAAGTTTAAAATAATTCAAATTACAAGCCAATAAAAAAAAAGTTTGAGATAAATTGAATCATCTTGAACTTATTTTTGGCTTAAAATTTGATAATTTAGGCTCATAGCAAATAATATATATATTTTTTTAAACTTAAGAAAAGTTGGTCCGTTAGTCTTAAAAAACTTATCTAAAAATTCTGGCAGTTGCCAAGCTGGCCAATCAAGCACATAAGTATCGTCAGCAAATTATTTGGTGGAAGTTTTGGCGTCGTGGGCAGGTGCTAAATTATTAAACTTCAAGCCAAGAAAAAAGTTTTAGATAATTCAATTTACAAGACGAAAATGAAGTTTCTTTAACTTTTTGTGGGCGGTAAAGTTTGATCATTTAGGCTCATAGCAAATACATTTTTTTTTTAAAACTTCAGATAGTTTATCTGTTAATCTTATAAAAAACATCTGGTAATTGCCAAGCTGGCCAATCAAGCACGTTAGTATCGTCAGCAAACTATTTGGTTGAAGTTTTGGCATTGTAGGCAGGTGCTACACTCTGTTTGAAAATGAAATCATTGTTTCTATAAAGCTTGTCAGCAAGTGAGCGCATGACATTCTCTTAAATCCCCTTGTAGACGATTATGCTGACTTTAGTTTGACCTCAAATCATCAAAGATTGTGACTCTTAATTTCTCAATGACAAGCCAAATTTACTTCCATCTGACAGAGGACTTTGGACCACCGGGCTACACTCCAGCTTTTTTCCTTCTTTGCACATTCTTCTGAGATTTCCTTTACTTCAGGAGTGTCTTAATACGTCTGTGTTTGTACCTGCAGTGTGTGTGGTTGAAACGTATTTCACTTTTGCTTTGAGAAAAAACCACACAACAACAGGCTTTGTCTGCAGTTCTGTTTGTGGCTGTCATGATGCAGACCATTATAGCAACAATGGTGTTGTTATTGTTTCTTTTTCCTGTTTCCCCTGACACGTTTCAGTGGCATTGTCAGCCTGGGCGGCCTTGAGAAAAAAAAGCATCTCGGCTCTCAGATACTCCTTGTTTTGTCAGCCTTGGCTGTGATTGACTGTGGGAACCGTGCAGATAAATATAGCGAGGGCGGTATTGTCATTTCTTTTCCTGCGTGGGGCCACATCTGTCAGTCTGTTTGTAGGAGGGAAAGGTGCACTCCTGGTTTACTCAAAAAAAAAACCTGTTGCTTTAGTGTCGGGAGAATTTCTCTCCGGAGAGGCTTTCTGATAGTATTTGACACCTACTTCACCCTGTTATCACACCAGCATGTGGCTTACAGGATAAAAACTCAGAGGTAAAACTCATATCTCTTTCCTAATTGGTTAATCTTCAAAGTGTCAGCAGTCACTTCAGATGCTCCCGGGCCAATCTGCTAATTGCTATCTAAACATCCTTCAAAAAGGACAAAGACAGATTGAGAGAGGTTTTATCCTCCCCTCTATTTCCACTTCAGCTCAGTTCATTTTGTTCACCCCAGTGCGTTCTTTAATCGCCAGCCCATGAGATGAGAGTGTAATGTTGCCATGGAAACTTTTGACAATAAGGACAATCGGTTCAGTGAGACTTCACAGCTTGCGGAGAGGATAAGTGGTCACTCAACTTTCCCCAACTTTCCCTTTTTATAAAACTGTCAGGATCCTCTGCAGAAGGCTGCTTTATGCATATTAACTTCGTTCCAAATGTACGACTGCTTTTTTTTATAAATCTGAAAGAAAAAGTCAGCAAAAAAACACTTCAGCGCACACCACTTTCATCAAAGAGACTTCTTAAAAGTTAAATGTGGTGGTCTGAGAGCTCCCTGCCTTTTCACCTGCTTACGTGGAGTGAAAAGCCAAGACAGGGAGAGCAGCAGCAAAGACCCAATATGACACTGGTAAAATCAGGCACGGCATTACACATTATGACTTGAGTGTTTTAGGTCGTGTTCACACCTAAAGGTCCGTTTCTTGATTCGAATCCAAGGCAAGACGCTACATTTGTTTTGATTGTTTAACTGGTCCGGTTTGCGTTCACAAAGGACAAATTCAATCGTTCCAGACAACGGAACCAGAAGTCACGTGACTGCGAATATCGTTTGATTATTGGTCATTAGTTTACACGGGAATACAAACCCCGCTCTGCTGTCTTCGCCTGTCATGGAGCATCGTAGGCTGGTTTTGCTTTTGCTACTCATCCGGAGCGCGAACTGCGGCATTAATTAATACATTCCGGAGTAGACGTGCTGCAAACAATAGACAGATAAAGACGAGACGGCGACAGGCATTAATGAGAGCCTACCAGGATGCGTTTTCTCACTGGTATCAATCGGGACAAGTGAGGTGAGCTGACAACATTTATTTCACAACCAGCACTACAAATGTGTGGTGCGTTTCCTGTGATTGGTGTGAATGACGTTCACACCAGAAATGAACCGCTCCAGAGTTCACTTAATAGCGGTCCGAGACCACCTCTTCAGGCCAGAGTTCGTTTACTTGGTCCACACCAGAGTTCGAGGTCAGCGTTCACACCGACCCAAACGAACCGCACCAAGGGGGTAAACGCTCCAGGGTTTGGTTCAACCAGACTAAACGAGGGTGGTGTGAACGCGCCCTTAATTACGTCCAGATTGAATCAGGGGTACGAAGTTTGGATAAAGCTGGTTTAGAGGGTTAATGCGGTCCCTTTAATTCTGCTATCTTCAAACTCTTGCAAAACCCATTTTCTCTGTAAAGCAGAGCAACGGAAAGACAAAAAGTCACTTCTCTTTAAATTACAGAAAAAACAAAACCTTTTCGTTTGTAATCACTGATTCCCTGCGTGGGCTGCTTGATAAACAACCTCTCAAAGGTGTCACACAGGGCTTGCCTTTAATTATTTTTGCTCCTCAGAGTGTGAGTCTGCAGATTTGAGGCGGTCATTTGATATGCATCGAGGGTTTTTCGGTTAATCTTCTGCAGACCTGCAGATGTTTAAGGAGTCAGATCACGTCATTTTCAAATATTTGCCACCAGAGAGGCCTTCAGGTTCAATATCAGCGGGTTTTTTTTGGACATTCCCTCCACTTGGATCATGTCAAGTCTCACATTTGCAGAGCGGAGCACTGCGAAGTCATACAGCAAAAATGCAACACTTCAGAAGTAATTGTAAGCATACCACAAAGCTATACTACACATATGATCTGTGTTATGACTTAGCAGGTGGTCTATGAACCTGGGTCATCGCAGGCATGTTCAGGGTTAAACCGAGGTCACGTGTGCAAGGAAACAGGTTCCTCATGCGAAAAGGAGTCCAAAGTAGCTCCTGTGAAAAAAAGTCATTCTCTTTAAATGCCGTTGCATTTTGAAGATAAGTGAGAAAAACAGACTGCTACCTTGGATTCAATAAATATGAAATATTAAAATGAAAGTTAGAGGCAAATTAAAACAAAATGACTCCTGCAGCTAAAAGAAATTAATTGCTCCATCAAAATTTGAACCTAATTAAGATAAAAGCAAGTATATTTAGAATAATTGACTCTATCTGGTGAATATCTAAGGAAATATGACAACAATTTGCAGGTTCTAAGTTGGATTTATGTTCACCTTTTTACTTTTAGTCCTGAGTTTTAAACTTTTGATTTAGCAAAAAGTGCCGGTTTGCTCTCTGAGACTCAATTATCATAAAAACCGTATGCAGAGTAAGGAGTTACAAAAATAAGCAGAAGTTTCAGCAGCAGAGATTTGTATTTGTCGCAGTTGCACTTATTTACAGTGTGACCTCATTTGGAAGCAGACAACTGTTTTTTCACGAAAAGTTCTTTCAGTGGCACAGTGTGTTTGTCCCTCCTGTTGCCTTAACATAGATGTAAAGCATGGGGCTTAAAAATCAAGATCAAGGAAAAAGAGGAATAAGATACAAGCAAGTGCAAAAAAAGGTCAGAAACCTCAGAAGAAACTGCGAAAAAAAGGTCCAAAGTGGGGGAAAAAGTGCGCTACAGCGAACTATATCAATAAAATAAGGAGCGATGCACATAGTCATGGTGCAAACTGTAGTGCATTTGATAAATACGCAGGTAGAATTGCAAGAATTTATAGTGCATATTACAAATAATGACTATAGAATCAAAAAAGGGCACCAGGTGGTCACTGATAATGCGATAATGCAAAATTATTGCAACAATTGAGGTGCAAAACACGTAGCTGCAGCGCAAATTATTGTGCATTTCTTCACCAAGCTGCAGTTAAATCAACATTTACCGTATTTTTCGCACTATAAGGCGCACCATCAATGAACGCGTCTATTTTCATACATAAGGCGCACTGGATTATAAAGCGCATTAAGCCAAAACAAAACAGTCAGCTAAGTCAAACTTTATTTAACTCATTCAATAACTCGGCGAGGCTACGGTAGCTGCAGTGCTCCGACAAGCCAAAAGGATTTTAAGTGCGCCTTACAGTGCGAAAAATACAGTACTCAACCATGGACTGAAGGGAGCACTCTGCAGCCAATGTGCATTTAAACAAACTTCATAGCAGTACTAAAAGCACAAAACACACATCAACAGTGCATATCATGGTGCATTTTCTAAAAAATGCAGTGTGACTTGCGCTACTCCCCTGTGCATTGACTACTTCGCTGCCAAGTTGCACTTCAGCAGACTTTATTCAAAGAGCAAAGCACTCAGTTTCAGTGCAAATTATGGTGCGTTTCCACAATATGCCATCAGGTCAAATGCCAGAATAGTCAGTCGAATACTCGATTACTAAAGTAACTCATACTGAGTCGAATAACTTTGATTCTTTCACAGCAAAAATGCCTCAATATTCATATTCACGTTGAAAAATGGAAATTGTGTTTGTCCTCACCGCCTAAGTGAGCAGATGCTGAAAGCTTTTCCTTCACTCCAGTGGTGCTCTGTTCATACATGCATAAACTAGCATCTGAAACCCCTCCCTGGGGCCGCTTTTGCGCCGAAAACATTTCATTATCCAATCAGAGCTGCAAGGATAATTTGGCACTTTGGGGAATAACCTCTGTGTAATCACTTTCAAGCTTACTTGGGGATTCTACGCATATTTTTGAGCTTTAAAGAATAATTAAAGGTGTTAAGTAAATTTGTAGTGTCTTAAAAACTCTGTAGTATTCCCTCAGGTAAGACTGGATGTATATTATTTTAAATTTAAGAGTAAATTAGAGGGAAATAACTGATTTAAGAGCAGGACACAATATAGATATGGGTCTTTTTTTGAGTGTATCTTGCAGAGATCGTCCACCATGTTGAAATTTGCCCTTGACATCACCAGACTTGCTTTTGTCTTGTATAATCTCCAGCCCCCAAACATCACATCTAATTTCACATGCCCCACTATACCCAATCTGGGTCACACAAGCAGACAAACCCCGCCACACACAAACACCCTCACATAAAAAACCCACAATCACAAATGTCAGCCTTTATGGTAATCACTAATAGCCTCGGCATCCCGGTCTATGACTAGCCAATCCTGTTAGGTGTGACTGACCGCTTCAGAACATAAAAGCTCATGATTGGTCACGGCTAGTGTGGCAGGAAGCGGATTAGGGATCAACATGGCATGGTGTCTGGAGTCAGACAAAGACGCAATGTGTGTGTGTGTGTGTGTGTATGGCAACAGTTTGTGCTGTTAACTTGTTAACCGTGCAGGGAAATGCAGCCTCGTGATGTACAGCTGAAAGGAATTTGAATGGAAGAGGAGGCATGATTAGGAGGAAGGATGCAAGGAGATGAGAGAGATTTTGAAATCTTGCTCTGCTTTGAATGTGACATCTTAAATTGTGTACACAGGTGGAGTTTAGACAAATACAACTCTTGGCTCTTGTCAGCTGTACCTGCATGCTGCTTCATACTGCACACAACAACAAAAAAACGACTACCTCCAGCTCTAGAAATGCATGATTTATCACTAAGGCGACTTCCTACAAGAAATTCTTGAGACAAATATTTAGCAAAGGAAATGTTGTGGGAAAATATTATGACTGCGCTCTGCAGGGCCGAAGAACATTTCAACACTATTTCTATGTATTTCCAGCACGTAGCTACACACCCAGACGTAATCCTTTTAAGCAAATAAAATCAATCTGCAGAGTAAACTTCGACCTTGGCAAAAGAGGCACGACCCTGGAAAGACAACTTGTTCTCGCTGACTCCCTGAGGTCAGAGGTTAATCCCTCATCGTGTGCCACGAAAGCAGATTATGGTTGTTTTGAATCGGCAATCCCATAAGCGGGAGAGGGTGGGTCGTTTCAAAAATTCTTCGACAGATTGAGATAAACAAGAGTTGAAAGTTTGGGATGAGGTTACGTATACAAAAGGGGAGGAGCTTAACAAAGAGATAAAGAGCTCAAGGTCACAAGGTGTTAATAAACTTACAACAAAAATCAGCAGTGCACACAGCCATAGTGCATATCACAGTGCATTTCGAGAACACGAAGAGAGAATTGCACCAACCTGCTGTAGTATAAAAAACTCTTGACAATCGCTGATTGTTGTTTCATTCGTCATCAGACAATCAAAAGAACAATGAGCAGTGCAGTGCACATTCAGGTGCATTTGTTGAAAGATGCAGACAGAACTGCACCAAGTCGTAGAACATATAACCATTGATTCATCAGAGACCCAATGGAATGCACTCAGCAGTCACAAAATATTATAGCAAACTTCGGCAGAATATTAAAAGGTGCAATTCACACAGCAATAGCACAAATGACAGCGCATTTGTTGAGGTAATGCAAAAGAATCGCAAAAAGCTAGTGTAAGCTAATCATGCTGTCAAAGCGCACTTCAGTAAACAACATCATTGTATAAAAAAGCAGTGCAAACAGCCAGAGAAGCAAAGCATGGTGCATTTGTTCATATTTGCAGCGGGAACTGCACCGAGCCACATCGAAAACAACTCCAGCTGTACAGCCTCAGTGCATTTTAGCGCCCTTAATCACATTGTTTGAAAAGCAAATCACACATCAACAATGCAAATTAGAATGCAACAGAATATGACTAGGAAGCAGTGCACAGCCATGGCGCAAAACGAAAACTTAAACAGAGTTTAAAGCACTTCACATAGCAACAGCGATTAATTAGAAAAACGTGTCTTACCGTTGCTAGGTTATCGCATTGATGCTTTTTGCACCGTTGCTTGAAGGAGGATTGTCCATGACGTAGTTGCACCTTCTTTGGTTGCTCCATCTGTGACATCTGTTGAGAATAAAAACAGTTTCTTAGAAAACAGCACTGATAAATGAAGCAACAGTGCATCGGGGTTTCCCCTACATGCAATTGATCGTGGCGCACCGCCACAGCTAAATAAAAGCCGCCACACCTAAAAAAAAATTAGTTTTTATCTCACAAAGTTCTACCTCGGACTCATATGTATCAGCAGTGTTACCCCTACATTCATTAAGTTAAATTACGTACGCCACAACAGAAATTTCACATGATCATTAATATCAATGCGCCACTGGTGATTCTAATCGCACTGTGTGAGCACAACAACACACAATGTTATTTCCGACTTGTTGTGAGTCATCAAGGAGCGCATCAAATCCTATCGGACCCTCTTCCATCAATGTGAAAGGTAATGTTCAAGCTTACACACGGTCTATACAGCGAGTAGCATTAATATCATGAGTAGCATTATTATGAATGCGGCAGTAATGATTTCTACTCGACAACAACACACTACGTTATTTTCGACTTGTTGTGAGTCATCAACAAGCACATCAAATCCTGTCGGACCCTCTTCCACTAATGTGAAGGGAAACGTTTAAGCTTATACACGTACTTTATAGCGAGTAGCGCGGGTAGCGTAACGTGAATGCAACAGCGTAGCTCCTGTAGCGGCAAGAGACACCGCCGCTGCTGAAAAAGAGGGGAAACACAGGTGCATATGGCAAAAACTTCAATTATGAACTGCAATGGCAAAATGGGTATGTCAACAATTAACAGAATGTCTCTGAAACGCCACAGTGCAAAGGCTACTGTAGCCAAATTGGAGTATTCAATGCTAATTAGTGATTTTCTTGGTGATTTTGTCATGTTTAGGTGAAAAATAAGCATAAACGCTGTGCTTTCTTCGGTCAAAATAAAAATAGACGCTCTGACGTATCATCTACCCAGAAACTGGATTTCATTGGTTTTCGCTACTTCTGTGAACGTCAGATGTGTCAAGAGTAGGGTGTTCATATTGTCTATGATTGGTACACACAACCCCATTTGAAGGCATCATAAAATAATAGGATAGGGATCCAGCAACAACATCCTTTTCGAAAAATAAAGCGAATAGGAAAGTGCAAAAAAACTAAGCAGTTGGAGCACATCAGTTTTAAAGCCTGGTACAAAACAGTTTTCAGTGCATTGTAGCCAAAAAATAAACTAAACTGTTTATTTCTGCTTTCTCGCTGTGGGAAGCTAGTTGGAGTCTCTATTTAAAAAGTGTCGAAATGCAGAAAAATGTCCACGTTTTGATTTTAATGTCAGCGTCACCTTAACTTTCATGGCCCATTGTGAGCACACATCAAACCCAGACGTCAAATCCTCACCAGGCAGGGTTATTTGGCCTGTAACTGGGCCATTGTAGAAGCTGACAGACAGATATCGTCGTGTTTACACTCCGCTTCAGATGTTTCGCCCTCTTTCTCTTACTCTCAACATTTCTCCCTGTGTGTGTTTGCTATTTTCCGCCCTCTGTGAGTTAAAGAATTGGAACAGCACAATCGTACCGTCACTCACACACACACACACACACAGGGACACAGACTGAGTGTATGCTGATTGTGCGAGCCAGGTCAACGGGGATGACCTACTTCTCGGTTCTGCTCCGTGGACTGCCACAGCCGCTCACGTCAACTCACCGAATGGAACCCTCCGCCTACTCAAATGTGTTTTTTAAAGTGTGTGTGTGGAGGGGGTGGGTGGTGGGGGTTAAATGGCTTTTGGCTGCTTATTATAATCTTTTTTTGAGTGCTTCCGTGTCACCTCATTTACCAGGAGAGATCTGGCACTGGAACTGTTCCCTGCTGCCAGCGTTGAAGTGTAACTTTTTCAGCTCAATTTGTCAGGCGACGGTTCGGTTGAATATTCATTTTGATGAAACGCTAAAAAAATACAACGCAATAAAAGCCCCCCTGAAGGAGAGGATAAAGCGGATACTATAGAGGTTTTAATAGGAGAACTTTAGATGAAGAAACTTCGAGCAGAGGCCTAATTTTTTCACGATTATTAAAATAAATCAGCATTATGAGCGGCTTCATGTATTATGGAGGCGGGAGGAACCACGCGCGCTGTTCCCAGACTCTCCCTCGCCTCTGTTTGAGCCCACGTCTCGCTCATGTCGAATCACTTTTATAAAAATGGAAAGAAAGAGCCGCTATGAAAATTTTAACAGCTTAAACTATGAATGGAAGGGAAAGCCGCAACCTCCTCGGAGATAATGAATGATTTAGGAGAAGCGGAGCAGCAGACTAATGGGGAAGTCTGGCCAAATGTAAACAGGACGAGACATGAAGAGTTGGGAGAGGTTTGAATTTCCAAAGTGCTTCATTAAGTTGTTTTCAAGGCTGATTTGTTTTCCAAGGGGAGCCGGTGGACGTCCTCTAATAGAGCCAATATCCTAAAAAATTACGTGTCATTACAGACCAGCTGAACTGCAAAGTTTATTGTGTCCAAATAGATGGTTTTGCTCGGGAATGAAGGAGGCCACACATTTTGCATTTTTAACTAGTGCCAGACAAGAAAACTAGAAAAATAAGAGTTTGCGTGTATGCTTCAGAGATATTTTAAGAAGAAAGATAGTCTATATTTAAGCTTGACTCATGAATGACCCTTAAAGGAGTTATCTTTCCAGTTTTTAGTCAAATACCCCCCAAAAAAGACTCAATATTCACATATTGGCTACAGCAGACACACAGGGCTGAAAGCGACACTTACTGTCAGACTGTTGTAGCTTTCCAGACGCTGGTAGGCTTCTTTGTTTATATATTTGTTCACAAATTTAACAGTCTGTTTGCTGCTACAGCTGTAACCATCCCAGACCAGCATCAATATTTTTCCTTTCCCGACTCTAAATCACATTTTTGCCCTGCTCTAACACACCTGATTCAAATGATCAGCTCGTTAGTAAGCCATTACAGAGCTTGATAACGAGCTGATGATTTGAATCAGGTGTGTTGGAGCAGGGACCAGGAACCACTGGTCCAACTAATCAAAAAAGAGGCGCATTGGACATTTTTGATGGCCGAATATCTTACGACCCAAAAGTTTTAGCCGGGTGGTGACCTGGGCGTGTACGCCTCCTCCTCCTCCTCCTGTAATCCACAGTGACCTCTTCAGTCTATGAAACATTCAAAGAGGGGCGGTTGTCCTGCCTCCTCTGTTCCCGAGTGGTCAGAAAACACAAGGGAGTTGTGAACACGGTGGTTAAAAGTTAAAAATATGATGTTATACAACAGCTAGTTCGGAGCAAGTTTGGACAAGCGCTTCTCTGTAGAAATAAAACAGCACCCGTTTTGACTGTACGTACAATCTGAAGCCTAATAGAGCTAAGATGGTGCATAAAATGTTAAAATAGAGTATGAAAATTTGACTTTCTTTTTGGAAATCTTGGAAAAATCAGAGGAGCTGCACTGTTTTTTATTAGGGAACACCTTTAAGTTCAGCGTCTAAGTGGCCAATAACACTTATTTTGAATGATGAAGATGGCTCGCTTGAATCACAAGGCATCTTGGGAATCCATATCAACTCAGCGTCTATCATAGCAGCACTCTTTAACAAAGCCTTGTGGGGATTACAGCTAAAAGAAGCAAATCTAAAATCATTTGTTTGGCTAAAATGCAAAATTACTGTTTAATTTGAGCTCTGTGTTTATTTCCTACAAAGTACAAACTGTCAGCCAGTAGAAGAAGGAAAGATACAAAAATGAGCTAAATTCAGCTCAAAATGCAGCTGTGTGCATATTACATGACATCTGTTGTGTGGCTCTCATGCAGGAAAAGAAAGGAGGACAGTTGAGGCTTCCTCGCTGCTTATCCAGCTTTGTATTGCCCCCTAATGAGCACTTTTGGTACTGTCTGTGTGATACTGCAAACACAAGAGGCAAGCATGCTTTAACCCACAGCTGCAGCTCTGACAGACCTGAAACGCGACATGATGGAGGGAAAAATAAACAACATCAACTAGATTCCAATAACCTCCTCAAGGCTGAAATCTCTCTGTTTTTCTTCCTCTTTTCCCTCCTATTCTTCCTCCTTAATTCCTGTCACCTCTGTACACGGTTCAACAGTGTCACCTACGGTGTGCTGAGAGGCATTTCACCCTGTCTCGCCTGCCAGTTTGGATTTTCTGGGCTGCGTTTGTGTGCGTGAGAGCGCGTGTTTAGGTTTGCGTGTGCGTGTTTGTCTTTGTCAGAATAAGGTGGATTTATTCGCTTCATCCTTCGGCGCCTCCAGGTTCCCCTCCTGTCAAGCAGCAACCTGTCAGAGCTCCATCAGTGTCGAACTTTTCCAAGCTTTGGCAGAACTTTTAATGTCTGTACTTCTGGTGCTTATGTAAAACACTGTCTGCTGTTTATGTTATTTGGCTGGAAGCTGTGTGTGGAGACAGAGAGCATAAATTTTCTTGGACTTTAGATGCTGAATCCACTTGATTTATTCACCTCTTCACATTCTGCACAATGTTTGAGTGCTTTAGACTCCTGGACTGACATTTTTACCACTTAATTCTCAAAACATTAAATTTATTTAACCTTAAAGCTCCTGTGAAGCTTTTTTGACCTTTACAAAAATCGACTGAAATTCAAACCGTTACCTTTTTGTGATAAACAAAACCAAACAAGATGATCAAGGACGAGATTGATGATTTCTATGCTGTAATTTTCAACATCTAAAACCAGTGTGGGGTGGTAGGTGTCTGTGGAGCCAGTTTTTATATTTATAGTATTAAAAATTCTAAAATAATTACAGAAAAGTTAGCAGGATGAGAGTTTTTCTTTGAGGATGCTACTAAAACATGCAGAGGCAAGGATAAGCAAAGCCTGTTTTGTCCACAGGGGGCGCCAAAACTACCACAAAAGAAAAGTTCCCCATAGGAGCTTTATGGAGGCCCTAATACTCAGTCTGATGTATCTCCTGTAGTGTTCATTCATTATAGAATAACTACCTTTCATAAAGTTAATTTTGTGGCATTGTGCTACAAACTTAAAACTGTATCTGTGGATCATTTTGGCCACAAGAGGGCAGTAAAACACACTCTGACACTTTTAAACTTTTAACATGTTAACAAACAGCGCCTTTTTATCTGGAGTTGTATCCTCAATAACGTAAATGTGAGATTGAGTCACATGTTACGTGTTTTTTTTCTATAACCAGATAGCAATTTGTCCCTTTAGACACACCGTAGTTGAGCTGCCACAGTGTCTTCATGCTTCCTGCTATCGCCACAATGGAAAACAACATCGCTAATGTGATTTTTGACTTAAACTAGCTTGCCAAAAAAATAAAATAAAATATGGAAATGTCAAAGAACAGAATTTTAAACAATTAAAATGCAATTAATCATGATTAAGTTTTGGAATTTTGCAATTAATCTTAATTTAGAAAATAGATAATATGACAGCGTTGCCTTTATTACATGTTAAAAAACTTATTTGGAGTGGTATCCCTAGCCAGACATCACATTAAAGCCTAAAAATAGTTGCTCATTTAAGCCAACACCAGGCTGATTGGGTGTTAATTTTGTCTTTTTGTTAGCATTACCAACCTCTACAACTTATTCCCACCCAATCAAACCTGTGTTGACACAATATCTTTAAGACAGAGTAAAATACACTTTTGTTGTTGTTGTTATTTGGCCTCTTTTGGTTATCAAAATTTGACTCGAAAGCCTGCCTATGAATTATCTCAAAGATGTTTAAATGTGCAGCAAATAAGCTCCTGTGAGAAGTTTTTATCTGGTCATGAAGGCCATAAAAGACAAGACCATTGGCAACAAGACTGCAGTTTCTATATTGTAAAGTCCTGTTATCACTGCCAGACAAAATCCTCACAGGAGCTTCAAATCAAATGTGAGTGATGCAGGAATGTTCCTTCATATGTTTGGTTTGGGGAAAACTTGCGTGGAAAGGTTTGAACTTAGAAAGCTTTTGTGGGTTGACGTCATGCCGTAATGGAAAATCTGGATTTTCTATGTATGTGCATCAAATTAATCCATATGTGCTCTGAGTAAAGTATCTATTTAGACACACAAACACTCGAAAAATCAGCATAACATTTTCACAACAGGACAATAAACTTGATTTAAGGCGTCCTCTTTTAGCCACGGATTGGTAAGAACATCCTGATATATCGTCAGCACTGTCAGTAGGAATCAGCAGAGAGCATCTCTGGAAATATAAACACCTGAGGGAGGCTCTTAGGGGAGTGTGTATCAACGTGTGCGGGCAGGAGTGTAAATGTGAGTGTGTTTGTGCGTCTCTGAGGATTTGTTGTGTTTACAGTCTCTCCAAACACTCACCCATTCCTTTTCATTTGAAGCATGTGATTGCTGAATCACTTCCATGTTTCCTTCTCAATTTTTGCCTTCTCTCCTCTTCTATCCTTCCATTTTTACTCCGTTTCGACATCTTTTCCTACTTGATGCAAAAGATCAAAGCCACTTCCCTCGCATTTGCAATAAATCATAAAGTTACTAATTGTCTGTATAGCCGGTTTCGGATTCTGCAGCTCATCTGGTCAGCAAATGAATGAGATCAAGCCTTGTTTTTTTGCAAAGCATGCATAAAAATGGCAAATAGATCAAGCAGAAGGTATGTGTGGTGTGTGGTGTAGTCTACTTGGATGCTCACATGGCTTTAGCTCAGTGAACAGTGACATCTGCTGCACTGTGCTGTTTGAAATGGATTCTTACCTGACCTTAAAAATGCATGCAAGTCCTCTCACTAGAATCTATTACTTTTATGTGCATTAATATGGATAATCTGTGCTTTGTAAATTCCCCAAACAAAATTTAAGTCTTTGTTTTATGCTTATTAAGTGGTGTTTCCACTTATTAGTTACTTTTTGCAAGTTATACATCTTGCCGTTTTCTAACAAAAGTCCCATTTCCCTAAAGTGTTTGTTAAGGCTTCTTCTAATCCAGCAGACTTTTCTTTTCTCCTAAAAGTTTCTTTCCGCCAAAAACTCTCCTCACTTGTTTTCTTTTTTTTACTTCACAGCCCTGAGGCCAAAATCATAAATAAAGAAGGCACAAAGAGCACACAACGCTTACGCAGTACAAGCTGATAACATTGATTTGAGATGAAGTAATGTCGCTCCCAATGACACTGTTGTTCATTTCACATTAAAAATTCAGATTTTCAGACAAATTTCAATAAAATAATTATTAGGAAACATCCCAAAACTTACATTTAACATCTTCTAACCTTAACAGGTTGGGAGATCTTGCCAAAATTATGCAGGATGTTTTGGAGAGTTGAAATTGTTTGGTATTAAGTACAGGCCTCCCAAAAAGCTCATTTCCAAATGAATCCTGTAAAAGCTTATTTTGGTTTTGATTAGCTTAGCATTCTCTTTTGCAAGTTTGCAAGCACAAACTTTAATTAAAATTATTTCTACACAATCAACTCTTCTTGAGTTGATGAAGGCGGTTTTAAGATCCTTAGTTGAAAACGAAGTTACGTAATACACTCTACAGGCAAAATCATTAAAAAATTGTTAATAATATTTGCAATATGCATGAAAAAGCATTAAAAAGCATGGTTCTGATGGTCCTTGAAAGTCCTTATCATGTAGATTTGGGTAGATCTAAAAATAATGTTCAAATTTACCCAGCATAGTGAGAATCAATGTGTTATTTGGAGTTGCTATGAAGACGTTTAGGGCCTGTGTCCACTAACACAGTGCTGTCTGTTGAAAGGTCATTAAAGCTGTTAGTCGGCACTTTCACTTCCATCTATGGAGACCACTGGTGACAAAGGTTAGAAATAAGAAATATGTTTTGCCAACACAGAAATGCCATTTGTAGAAATAGGCCCTTGTTTGCATGAGTTTTATTTCTGAAATAAGTGATGCTGCTACAGAAATGCATTTTGTGGAAATAGGCCCTTGACTGCACAAGTTTTGTATCACAAATAAGTGATGCCAATACAGAAATGCTATTTGTGGAAATAAGCCCTTGTTTGCATAGGTTTTGTTTCAGAAATAAGTGATGCTAATGCTAAAATGGCAGTGGTAGACATAGGCCCTTACTTCTTGATTGCATAGGTTTTGCTCCAGAAATAAGAGATGTCAATACAAAAAACATTATTAGTTGACATAGGTCCTTAATCCCTAACTGCATTGGTTTACTTTCAGTATTAAGAGATGTCAACACAAAAACACCATTAGTGGACATAGGCCCTTAATCTTTGACAGAAAAGCAATGAATTAAAAGTCCCCAAATTCCAATATGTATTGCACTGGATAGTACAGGAAACTAGAGCACAGTATGTACTATGAGGTGTAATGTTTCCATGCTAACTGAGGCTTTGAATGATATACATCCAAATTACTGAAGTAAAGCACAAGTACCTTGAATTTCCATCTCAGTGCTTGTTAAATGTTCGTAGTTACATCACACCAAAGAACCGGGACACACTGATAGCGTGTAGGGTCAGACAGAAGACAAGACTCAGCTCCTCTGCAGGGAAATAAATGGACATGTGCACTAATTACTAATTAAACTGACTAATTACTAATTGACTACAGCTGTGTCTGCAGTCTGCACCAAACAGAAGAACCTGACACCACTGCTTGATAGAATTATGTCTGATTGAATACAGTAATGTTATACACCTAGCAAGAATGGAGCTCTGTAGTGTCTTGTTTTCAGGATGTAACACACTTCTAGTCTCACTTCTCTTACACGGATGTTGCACTGCAGGCTATCAGTGAAGAAACGCTGAGCGCTAATGAGCTTTTGCAACCAGAAAGAAAAGTAGACAACGCAGTTTCGCAACAAAAAGAATATACTCAAAACAGGATGATTGCCCCCAAGCAGGTGCTGATCTGCACCCTCAGTGTGTTAACTGTTGTTGGTTGGATGGCAGGATGTTAAGTGTTGGATTTTGAGGTCCACTCACTGGTCTGCGCCCCTCCCCAACACAGCAATGAGTAATAAGCTGTTTCACACTATTAAATCACAAATCCCTCTGCCTTCTTTCCCTTCCCTTCTTTCTGCCGTCCTCTATCTCTATCTCTCTCTGTCTCCGGCCTGCAGACAGCTGAGCGGCTCTTCTGGATTTCGCTGACACTGCGCCTGGTCCCGCCTGGCCTCCTCTGAGCAGGATGGAAACTCTGGAGTCAGAGCTGACCTGCCCAATCTGCCTGGAGCTCTTTGAAGACCCGCTGCTGCTCCCCTGCGCCCACAGCTTGTGTTTCGGCTGCGCCCACCGCATCCTTATCTCCCACTGCGCCACCAACGAGTCCGTTCAGAGTATCGGAGCCTTCCAGTGCCCCACCTGTAGATATGTCATCTCCTTGAGTCCTGAGAGAGGACTAGAGGGACTTAAGAGAAACGTGACCTTGCAGAACATTATCGATAGAGTCCAGAGGGCTTCATCCTCTGCTGGGCTTCCTTTACCACTACCTGCGCCCCACAGCGGGCCCAACTCTCCCGGCGAGGAAGGGAGCAACAGATTGGCACTGGTCCCCGTCAGCGCCGCCATGTCCAGCCCAGGAACGCCTCCTGAACCGGTCCAGTGCCAGTTCTGCGAACAGGATCCGCCTCAGGATGCCGTGAAAACATGCGTGACATGTGAGGTGTCGTACTGTGAGGAGTGCCTGCGGGCCACTCACCCCAACAAGAAGCCGTTCACCGGACACAGGCTCATCGAGCCCATGCCGGACACCCACCTCAGGGGGCTCCAGTGTCTGGAGCACGAGGAGGAGAAGGTGAACATGTACTGTGTCACTGACGATCAGCTCATCTGCTCGCTGTGCAAACTGGTAGGACGGCACAGGGATCACCAGGTGGCAGCACTGAGCGACCGCTACGAAAAACTCAGGGTAAGATCTGCGGACAGTCTTTCACCTTTACACAAGCAGAAACCACAGATTACTTGGCTTACTTTGTTAAAGCGGTTTACCTGTCCAGCAGAAAGGTTACAGGGTCCGTATGATGCCGAAGCATCTGGTTGGTTTTTACTGTCCGATACTGTAGCACGCGAACTTTGTTTGAGCTTGTGAACGTTATTTGTAGTGCGTGCTTCACAACACGAGGGAGCAGCATCCGCCTGACTCGCCTCAATCAGGTCGGGGAGGTGGAGAATGGCTTTGTTTACAGTCAGAAAGAGCGGGACGCTCAAAAAATTTACAATGTCGACTACACAGGCATAAGAGAACACAGCGATGTCCTGGTATTCTCAAATGTCATCAATAACTAATAGCTACTGACTGATATTAAAAGCTTTTTTGTATATACACCACAAAAAAAGCGTTCCTTAACGGATTCCTGCCTACCCCACCCTTAAGTCTAGCTAAGTTAGAGCAGAATTTTCTAGATTAGTCATAAGGTATTTGGAGATCTCAATTTGGCAGATGTCGGTCTCACATATAGAGTGGATTTTACTATAAGAGTTTGCATTAAGAGTACAGAAGGCTTGTATAAATATGGGTAAATTGAAAGGTAGTAAACAGACACCATTCTTAAAGTGAAAACCAGTTTAAGGTTCTGAATAAGTCGACCTTTTTGAAGCCTGGGCCTCACTTTGTATCCAGATTGTGGGTTATTTAAATAACATATAGCAGCCACAAAGGCCTTATTCTGCTTTATGCCGTACACTTCGGGCCATTTCGGACTGTTTAAGTAAGGTCCATCTTTAAGAACCAATGGGAGTGTCACTGTGACAACTTACATGATTTAAACAGACTTTCTTATTATCACTTTTGTGAATAAATTGGTTTTAGTGAGTGATTTTGTCTCATTACTCTTGTATAAATATGCCATATTATCAAATAAAAGTTATCTTTAATTAACCTGTGGACTTTAAATTATAATATATCAAGGTTAAAGAGTTCTTCCATTATTTTTCTAACACATATAATGAATTTTAAACTTTAATTTTATGCCTCTCTGCAGTATGAAATTACCCTTACCCAGGTATCTCACTCAATTATCTACTGAGATTTTATCATCTCCCACTGAATTATTATCTTTCCTGAATAATTAAGCAATTAGCATAATCACTACTACATGCCAGTGTGCCGGGAGGGTATTTAAAGGCACGCACACACAGTCAATATGCAGAATGTCATTAGCGGCGACGTATGGAGTCTGCAATGAGGTTGCAGGTTAACAAGCGCCGATTGCCCGCTGGGCGTAGGTGTGCCTAATTGAGCGTGGCTATTAGAGCGTGCTGGAAATGGCCACAGAAGCAGCATGTGAGCGGAGATGTGTGTTACTGCAGAGTCATCTGAGGAGGAGAAGTGTCTCAGGATGTCCATAGGATGCTGGTGTTTTAATTTGCCCTGCAGAAGTTTTATTAAAGGGCTGCTCCGTAGTTTTAAGTTTCTGTGAAGTGTGTTATTCTTACGCTGACAGTCCTGATTTACTCATAATCTCAGCATGTCATGATACTGCTTATTGCACATATACAGTTTGTGTCAGGTATACTCGACTTTTCCAAAGTGTCATCTACCCAGGGAGCATTTTCAGCCACACTGTGCCTCACATTCACTCGCAAAAGTGTCATATGGTGTTTATTCAGCTTTGCTCGGTGTCTGTAAATGAAACGCCATGGTGCGATTCCTTTGAGGAACAAGTTTTTCCTTTTACCACGGGTTTGAAACACATGTTCAAGTCTGGAAGTAGTTTGTTATACGTCCTCAGAGAGGCAGAGTGGCTTTAGTGATCTAATGGAGGAAAGTGAATCACTGTAACTGGTTCCAAGGTTGCAGTACCTGTGAGAAAATGACGCTGAAGCTTCGGTTGATGGAAAGTCGATTGTAAATATGCGCAATTTTGGTCATTCGAAACAAAATAAAGCAGCAAAAATCACCAAAATCCACACCTCGCATTGATTATCACAGTGAGGTATTCATTAATCTGCATGGCGCCACAAATGCACCCTGTTGCCATTATTCCAGACCCTATGAAAGTTGGCACCTTGTCATTTTTCAAGCCACTCAGCCTCCAAATCATGAGCTCCGTGGCCTTTATCATCACAGCAGACGAATGCATCTGTACCCTTCTTATCTTGTGTGTTTCAGCAAATTTAAGCAGAGAGGAATAATTAGCAAGAAAACCACAGGTCAGTGCCTCATCTAATTATCATGCTTCTGTTTCTCCCTCCGTTCATCTGGCGAGATAATGTAGCGTATCTCAGGTCAGTGCACACGGCTCACACAGCAGTTATCGTACAGGCTCATTATCAGCTACAGCATGCAAAAACAACGCAATAGCAGTTTTCGTTTTGCTCGGAGAAGCAGCCAAACTTTAGCCTGTGTCAGCAAATTAGATGTGGTACCAAACGCCACAAAGCACGAATTTTAAAAAATGCATCATGCCACACACTGAGAACCCTTGCTGTGTAGTTTGCATGCAGGATGTGTTTTGCAACCCATATGGAGATACTTTACAAGCAACCATATCAGCTGGTCGCATGACAGGGCACCACATGCAAAGCAAAGTTGCTTGAGGATCGCATGTGAAAACTCAAGCATACAAAACTCATATCAGAGGGATGGGAATTGGTATGATTTAACTGATACCAAAAACAACAAAACAAGTTTATAGATAAGTTTTATGATCTTTTCTGTCTGGCGTAACAAGCAAGCTGATTGCGGATACATTTGTTTCATTGGCTTATGGACTAAAACAAAGATGGCCACCTTCAAACCATAAATGTATGCATAAATACTTGACGCCTATCTCTTTAACACATTATAAATATATGTATAATGCGTTATACTCATGTTATCGCACTGTATAACTATAGTTATAAACACTCATAAATGATCATAATGCTTTATAGCAATAATCGTAACACATTATAAAGCATTTTATCATGACTTACAAGGTCAGGTATTCAAATTTGTTATTACTGTTAACAACTCACTGAAAATTCCCACATAGATAAAACATTATACAGAGATTTATGATGTGTTATAATTTGCTCATAAACTTATAGAACCATAATTATAAACACTTATTAATTATCACAAGGCTTTATAACTATTAGCATAACACATTATAACACCTGACCTTGAAAGTCATGAGTGGAAGTTCTCATGACACTGCTTGATAATGTGTTATGATTATTGCTATAAAGCATTATGATCATTTATGAGTGTTTATAACTATAGTTATACAGTGTGATAACATGATTATAACGCATGATAAATATATTTATCATGCGTTATAGAGATAGGCGTCAAGTAAGGTGTTACCCATAAATCTTCACAGATGATCTTCGTTTTTGAATGGAATACCCCTTTATTGCCAAAACACAGCCGAACTCACGGAGCAAGTGGATTTTACTGTACATATACTTTTACTGTACATGTACTGTACATGTTTCAGTACTGATATTACGAGCACAACAATACTAAGTTGTGTGAGACAAAGATTTGGGCTGTGTCTTAAATGGATCCCTTACCCCTATATAGGCGACTATATGGGGGTTAGCGCCATTTTGAGGGGTGTCTGAAACCTGAGTGATCAATTCCAATGCCCCATACAGGCGACTCAAAATTTCCCATAGAGCATTGCAAAATGTAGCGACCATCCGATGGTCACTCACTGGTGGTGGGCATCCCGTCATGCACTGCGTCTTGCCATGTAGTGTCCGAAACCTCCGGTGATTGAGCTCACTACATAGTCAGCTATGTAGTGAAACCCCATATGGGAGTTAGGGATTGAGTGATTCATTTTGGACACAGCCATAGACTGTCGTCTGTCCACCATGATTACGTCTGTTGTAGTCATTTGCACTGATTTCCTCTTGTCATTGTTTTATAATACATGTGAGCCTAAGTTGAGGGCATCATTAAGAGAACCTTTAAGCATTGACGGGAAACGATATGGATGGTTTGAGCTAGTTAGAACTGGTTCTGATCTGGACCTTGTTTCCAATTACCATCCCTACCTAAAATAGAGAACCTTATCTAGAGCAGGTCACAGCATGTAACCTCCCAAACGTACACAAGTTTCTCTCTACCTGAAGTAGATTTTGTACTTGGAACTATTTAAACTTTAAAAACAGTTTTGGCAGATGACAAAACAGTACATTAATTATTTTGTGGGTACACTGGTCCTCACGAAGCACTCTGACTTGCAGCTGACAAGCGGTCACTTAAGGAAACACTCAAAGACCTGGAACAGTTTGATTTGTAAGACATGTTTGATTAGATAAATTATAGGTATAGTACGCTGTTACTCAAATGAATAAATCATACTCTGAGAGAACAGTCCGAACAAAAAAGGACGTATGACTGCTTCATAACTTTGAGCATGCTGTCTGTTTCTTTCTTTAAAAACACACAAATGTCTGCATAAACCTTCACTACACCTGTCCTCTGTCTTCAGTTAGACTCAGACAGCTTCTCTGTCCTATGAAGAAAACAAACGTAAGGTTTAAGGGGATTTGACTGAATGTTAAGCCTTTCTGCCAGCCAGCTGACACATGACAGGACTTTGATACAAAACAGTGGTTAAGACCCTTTTAGCCCATGGATGACCTCACTAGAATTTAAGCATTAAAAAGTGGAGTGCCACATCCTTTTTAAGTAAAAACCTCTGTGAGGAACTTTAATATCTAAAAAAGCTTTGAACGTTACTCTTAGTGATGTCTACATTTTGGAACGGCAAAACTTCTTAATATCAGTTTCCGACTGTGTGCCATTCAGAGCTTTTTTTTAACTTTTGCTATTCTACAACTTCAACAATCATGCAATTTCTTAATATTCTTCCTCTTCTTAGTTTTTCTCCTTCATCTTCATCTTCTGCATTTTTTTTTCTTTGTCTTCATTTTTCTTCTTACTTCATCTTCTACATTTTTCTCCTTCGTCTTGTTCATTTTTCTTCTCCCTTGTGTCTTCATTTTTCATTTTTCTTCGTCTTCTTCAATTTTCTTCTTTGTCTCCATTTTTCTGTCTTCATCTTCTTCATTTTTCTTCTTCGTCTTCTTCATTTTTCTCCTTCATTTTTCTTCTTTATCTTCGTCTTCTTAATTTTTTTTCTTTTCCGTCTTCATTTTTCTTCTTCATTTTTCTCTTTCTTCTTCATCTTTTTCATTTTGCTTCTTCTCCGGCTTCTTCATTTTTGTTCTTCTACGTCTACTTCATCTTTCATTTTCTTTGTCTTCATCTTCGTTTTTCTTCCTCTTCATCTCCTTCATTTTGCCTCTTAATCTTCATTTTCGTTCTTTTTTGTCTCCGCTTTTTTTCTTCGTCTTCTTCACTTTTCTTCTTCGTCCTCTTTTTTCTCATCATCCCAATTTTTCTTTGTCTTCTTCATTTTTTTCTTTTTCATCTACCTTCGTCTTCCTCATTCTTTATTCTTCTCCTTCATTTTTCTTCTTCTTCATCTTTATTTTTCTTCGTCTTCTTCATTTTTCTTCGTCAGCCTCATTTTTCATCTTCATCATTTTTCTTCTTCTTTGTCTTCTTCTTTCTCATTCTTCTTCTTCCTCTTCTTCTTCACATCTTCAACAGTTTTTTCATTTATACTGTTTTCCTTTCTGCACTCAGCATTTCCACACATGTTCTGAAAGGAAATGCAATTTTTCTAGTTTCAGTCAGGAACCCTTACTTCAGGGTTCCATGTCTATGTCAGGCTGTGGTGAGGAGAGTAGCAGCAAAGATCCTCAGGTCCAAAAAGAGCAGGCATCAGTGGAAGTTCACATGACACTGGTAGAATTGGAGAAGCTTGAGTGGATTTCTTCAGATGAGTCGATGGTCTTGTTTGCTTTTGTAGGTCACACAGAGGTATTCCACCTCATTTAGTCCGTTTCATTACCAGCTTAGCGATACAAATTTATGCCTCATTCTTTCTTGAATTGCACTGACTTCATTTACATACTTTGTAAATGTCACAAGACACCATCTGCACTTAAAGGCAGTCCTCAACTTAGCTTTAAGACACTACATTAAACTTAAATTAACAGCATATACTGAAGCTAAACAGTCCCAAACAAAATCCCTATCTCTGCTTCTCTCTCTGACTGACTTGTTTTGCTGCATCTTCTTTATAAGCGAAGCTTTAAATATATCTCAGCCTGAGGCAAAAATCTGCTTCAAGTAGAGAGCCGCATTCTGTACATGTCAGTTCACTTAACCTTAATTCAGTAAACATTTTCTCCATCTATTCCCATTCAAATCTGCGTGGCAGCGTTTCGTGACACATATACAGTGAAAGCATGCGATTACAACGCATACCATGGCAGGCACTAATTAGGTTCTCTGTTATGATTATATAATGAAATGTTTACACTTGAAGCAGGACTTTTTTTTTTAACCTTTAAGATGAAAAAATGACAGTTTTATTTAAAAACACTTGGGGTGGAGTTCAAACTTGTACAGGGAGGCTTTGCAACAAGGGACAAAAACACTGACGTCTTTGTCTAATTACCACAGGAAACAACCTGAATGCCATGCAATATTTACACTGAACACCGTGATTGATTTTTAATTCATAAAGACAGAAAACCTTTGCGCAACAACACCAGCAAGAGACTCTCTTTTTGCCCTGTGAGCCAAACAGCGACAACTTTAAGTACTTGAGATGTTATAGATGGTGTTTTTCCCCCCATTTTTACACAGATATGTTTTCTTTCATTTTCATGTCTGACAAGTTGGAACTATTTCGGCTGTATTTTCCAGACCATTTCATGCATATCACTTTTTGCCTTGATCTGCAGGAATTTAAGATATCCCCACTCGGCTCAGGAGGGGAAAAAAAAAAAAAAGAATATCAGATGATTGGAATAGTTTTCTTTTTTCAGTGGCAGTGGTGGTGTGTGTCTGATAAGAGCTATAGAGGTTACTGTGGGAACACCCATCCTTTTCGGGAGATAAAATTACCCCCGTCACAGGAAATTGACTGAGAAGGCAGCTGGAAATAGCTTTTAAAGTCCTTGGCTGTGGGTCTGCGGAGAAAGAACCTTGAGGATAAAAGATTGGAGCTCCTGTGTTTGTGTGTTTGTGTGTGTCTGCCGCTTCAAATCACAGGTTTTGTTGTGTATATGTGGTACTTCGTTTGGTTTAATCAGCTGTCCTCGGATTGAAACATACTGTGGTTGTCAAGCGCCACATGCACAATAGAGCCCAGCATAACGTGTACTGATAAGCACTATATTTACTCTTTTGTCCTCTCGCTGCCTGTCTCATTCATCTTTCATATCACAAATATACTTATGCCTTTTTTTTCCTTTTCATATAGTGCTAGCTGTCATGGTGACAATTTGCACCCTTGAATTTTACCTTGACTTTGAAAAACTTCCAGTTGTATGAATCATTTAAGAGCGATAGCAACTCAAAAACTTGTCAGTCTGAGTTTTTAAGTTCTTGTTTTGCTGCAGCAAACTTAAGGTGTTCAGTGGAGCTGGTTTGTTATGATTTGGTGGCACTTGCCCCCTGGGTGTCCCCCTTTTTTTAAGCAGTGAAAGTGCCCTATTAAATACCCCTAAGATATGTGAACATTATATGTAAAATTATGTTTAAAACAGAGGGGAAAATGTGATCAAGTTCCCTTTCAGTGGAGAAAATGCAAAAAAATATTTTCCAGTCTTACCTTTCAGTGGAGAAATCCCAAAAAAGAACCAACTACAGAGCCCTTTAAGTAGAAGAAATGACATAAAATGCCCTGCGCCCTCTACAACCGCTATCTTTTGGAGAAAACAAAGTGCGTTCTCAAAGCCCCTTCAGTGGAAAAAAGTCTCAGGAATCTCCCTCTTTTGGAGAAGCAATGCTAATGTGTTTTCTAGAGCCATTTAAAAGGGAAATATATGACATAGTGCCTCTCTAGTGGAGAAAACATGACAAAATGCCATTAAGGGTGCCTCTTAGCAGAGAAAACATTACTTAGGTGCCATTGAGAGAGACATTTTTCATGATCCCTATCCATCAGAGAAAATAAAGTGCCCTAAAAAGGGCCAAATGTCCAAAAAAAAATCCCCTGTCAGTGGAGAAAACATGATTAAGTGCCATTTTAGGGATCTTTTAGAAGAGAAAATATGGAATCTCATTCGCTTGTGTAAACATGATAATATGCTTTCTTAAATCCGTTAATCTATGTCTTATAGGGTGCCGTCCAGTAGAGAAAATATAATTAAGAGTCAAATAAGGGTTAGTGCCATAAAGAAAGGCCCCTTCAGTGGAGAAAAGTGGATAGCATGCGAGAGCCATTTTTCATGATCCCTATCCATCAGAGAAAATAAAGTGCCCTAAAAAGGGCCAAATGTCCAAAAAAATCCAGTCAGTGGAGAAAACATGATTAAGTTCCATTTTATGGATCTTTTAGAAGAGAAAATATGGAATCTCATTCGCTTGTGCAAACATGATAATATGCTTTCTTAACCCTTTGATGCGCAACATATCCACACCCCCTCTAATGCGCAACATGGGTCTAAAAAGACCCGCATTCATTTCCAATAGTATTTCATGCTGGCTGAGTTTTTCTTTGTTCTATCTTTTGAAATCAGTTTATTTTCTGATTGAATATTCCAAGTATTCTTTAAATATCTTGTTTTTGATCACCACTGATCATTATTTCTATTTTTCTTTTCATACTTTATGAAATAATATAGTTTCTATATTATTACATCAAGTTTACACACATGGGTCAAAAACGACCCATTCATCCAAGTGTGATTTAATATTAAATTACCTAACACTATATTAATAATTTGTGTCAAGTAATGAAATTAGCAGTGAGTGGGGCCAAACCATAGACTGTATATACTATGGACAACTTGGTTCTGCCTACCGCCTGTATACAGATTTGAAGCCAAAAAGCTCTCGATATTTCCGGGATTTTTCTACATTTCTGAAACCAGCACTGCGCAGTAGCGATGCGCGCAGTCGCCAAGAGTTGCTGTGATGACGCTCGGCTCAAACAGCGTATCCCCCGAGTTACACAATCCCTGAACGCCCATAGGCTGTATCAGGTGTAAATCATAGCAAACATGAACCCCTAATAACTTTTAAAAACGGAGCTGTACAGAAAAAAGAGGACTTGAGCACAAACCAGTCTTACAATAACTACATGTCAACATCACAACCAAGGGGGAGAAACATTTATATTCTGTGTAATAAATTTCTAAAGTTTGTCCACAGCCCCATAAGCTTTGCTGGTGGAGGCGGGATTTATACTGCAGCCTCTAAACAGGGGGGTGCTGTTCTCGGAGTAGCTTCACCCAGCAAGGAGGCAGACGCTGTCCATTCTATATACAGTCTATGGGCCAAACACTTATGTATTTTGTATTAGCAATATGTTTATTTGTCATTTTGTCACATACACATTTGTCTGATTATAGCTATCTGAAATAACGCTAACTGTTTTACCTGTAACTTTGTAACTTTCCAACATGTAATGTCCTCACTCTCAAGGTAACCTAAACCTAATCAAATCTTTGTAAAATTATCTTTCACAATTGTCATCAAATAATTTCTAAGATAATGTCAGAACAATTAAAAGACCATACTTACATGTATTAGATGGTCTTTTCATGCTAAATGCTACAGTCACTATATGTGGGTCGTTTCTGACCCATGTATGTAAACTTGATGTAGAAATACAAAATCTGTGCTTCCTCATAACATAAGAAAGAAAAAATAAAAATGATTATTTGTGCTCAACTAAAACAAGATCTTTACTGCATACTTGGAACAGTAAATGATAAAATTAATTTATTTCAAAGATATACCATAGAAACACTCAGCCAAACATGAAATAACATTGAAAATGGATACGGGTCATTTTAGACCCATGTTGTGCATTAGAGGGGTAGTGATACAAAAACGTTTTTTATTCTAAAAGTAAAAAAAGAAAAATTAACACAAGGATGTAGGGTCGTCAAAAACAAGTTAATTGAGGAATTCATTGAGTATCGACTGATGGAATTAATTTATTGAAAAGATATATAAAATTTAAACTCAGCCGGGTCTTTTTTGACCCATGTTGCGCATCAAAGGGTTAAATCTGTTAATCGATGTCTTATAGGGTGCCGTCCAGTAGAGAAAATATAATGAAGAGTCAAATAAGGGTTAGTAAAGTAAAGAAAGGCCCCTTCAGTGGAGAAAAGTGGATAGCAAGCCATATGTGAATGCAACTGGTATCCTTGACCGTTTTGTACCTCTTTCCTTCTTATAGTTTTAGTATGTAGTAAGAAACATCCAAAAACAGGTTGATCTACAACTTTTATCGAGCTTTTACTGTTATAATAAAAGACTTTAACTACTTTTCCTGATCACACAGGGGCAGCAGAGAGCAGCTGTAAACACAACAGTGACATAATTTCACCTAAAAAAGCCATGCGCCTGGTTACGCCTTCAATCACTGTCAGATATTATCACTCTTATAGCTCTGGTTTATGTCCCACCATCAGCTCCTTCACTGTGAATATTTTTGCCTTGTTGGCCTGATTGTTGCAGACAATAAGAAAAATGATGATGGCTGCTAAACAGTTTCCCCGGCACATTGTGTCTTTCCTTGGACCACTACCTCGTAAATTTACGTCGTTTTTCATGTCCACCCTCGCTGGTTTTGTATTTCATCAGGGTGTCTACAGTTTCCGTGATTGTTCTAACACACGTACAATGAAGCGAGACTGAAGGAAAGCATCACCACTCCAACTATTAAGCCAAGTATAGTGATTTTTGTCCCTTTTTTTTTTTAAGAGACCCAGCTGTTTACCTGCTTCTCTCCTCAGCTGAAGTGAATAAGATCCATTATCTGAGAATTTACACTTCATTGTGCAGCTCTCTTCTGTGTAGTCTCTCTCCGTACTGAGTGTTCCTTTTGCTCGGGGCCTTCTGGTCTCTCAATCAAACACAAACACAATCGCACACATTCCATCCTTCCCCAATTTCCCTCAGTACAATTGTCCTTCCTCGCTTTCTTTCTCTTTTTGTTCTCTCTGGTGTGCAGAAGTCATCTCTGTTACTCGCAGAGTGATACAAACACATCGTTACCGATTTACAGAGAAGAACAAAAGTGAAAAGCTGAATGTCATGAAAACAGATTCCCTCGCTCACACAAATATAAAGCACCCGGTAAAATGATGACATGGCACTCAGAGATAAAATCAAAGTAGAGATGGTAGTTAAATCGCTTCCTTTCTGTCTCACTGTTTTGCTTTTTCTCAGGCTTTCCCCACTCTAATTTATGTCCTTTGTGGCCACCTTCCTCTACTTTCAGGTTCTTCTGATTGCTCAAACACACACCCTTAAGTACTTTTGCAACAAGCAGAAGAATGAAGTGAAACTCTGGCAGCTTGTCGAGAAATCCTGAGAACACAATCCTGCTCAGTGTCACCATAAATCTCGTAACAGTGTAGCTCCCAGGAAAAAGTTTTCAGTACAGTTCCCTACCTGTCTCTAGTTAAGGTTCAGAGTGTGTGTGATCCCTTTGCTTTAGATTATCGGCACTGCTTTGGGGTGGTTAAGCTCCCCCGTCCTGAAAACGCCCAAGTACGCTCGATATGCTGATGACAATGAGGTTTACATGTTTGAAAGGAGAAGAAAAGGATGCAAAAGTAGCACATTGAGGGATTTAGATCTGTTAAACTCAGATTTTTACACGGAGAATGTGACATTTGGTGGTGAAAAAGAATATGCAAAGTTTGCATTAGTGTCAAATGTGGATTCTGTCTGATTTTGGGAGACGCTGTGGGGGGATACAAGCTGAGTGTGCAGCAGCAGAAAAGCTTTCCACTTGATTATAAGCAGATGGAACCCACATTTCTTTTGTAAAAACACTCCATTAGCTGACTGAATCAATCTTTTTTTAGGAGATATTTACATTTGAGGCAATTTTGCACTTTGTCTCATCTATCGCAGCTGAGTCAAAGGAAAAAATTCCCTGCTACTAGGTGGCCGTAAACGCCATCTTCTCTCAGTGTTTCCATGCTTGTATTATTTTTTGGTTAAAAGTAGAAGAGGACCACTCACAAGTAAGCTAAAAATTGCACTTTTGCGACCTCCGGTGGACACCTCTGCTGGCTGTATTCCTAAAAAATGTTCTCCTATGTGTCAATATGCTGTGTCATCACAGTTGACCAGGCAAGAAACAAAGAGGTGGAGTTTAGCTGACAACTAAGCCCCTGTCAGATAAGACAGCCATGCTCGATATCATGCCGAATTATAAATAAATCATTGCTCTGTTGTCTTCCACCAAATGTTAATGGTATATCATCACAGAAATGGGTAGGTTTCAACACTACCACATTGGCTCTATGTTTTTTAATATCAGAAGTTGCTGTTTGGCCACCCTAGAATAAGTCAGTGCCACCCAAGTTTGAAATATCTGGGCACACCCCTGTTGTATGAACTATTTGGCTACCAAACATACAGATAAAATATAAGTCTCTCTTAAGACTTAGAACTCCGCTGGATCGCAGGCGATCCCACGTGGCACCATTAATATTATTTACAGTTTCTCGGGAACTATACCGTGTATCTCTATGGGATAAAAATTGTTCAAAAGTGTATGCTTTTGGCGATCTATCGAGGGTTTCCAGGCATTTCTACACCTCCCATAAGGTTTACAATCCAGCCACAAAAATAGGTGTTTGATCGAAGATGTTTGATGGTAAATCCGCGGTGAAATACTGGTGAAAACATGATTATTTATCATATTGTTATGTAAAAAAAAAAAGAGTTTGCTATTGCTACATGCCGCTAATATCTTCTAGGTTTGACAAACTGTTTTGATGACTTCATTTTCTGTCAAACTTTCGACCAATTACATGGTCTTATATTCTTCTTCTATTGTTCCCTTGATTGTAGTGACCAATAAGATCAGTGTCCAAAGATCAACAAGAGACAAGAAAGTTCCCTGCTTGTCTGCAAAATTAGAAACAATGGTCCTCAATGTTTGGAAACAAGCAAAGAAGAGATTATGAGCAGTATGATGTGGCCCTCTGTTTCATCCCAGACAGGAACTGTTTCAAGGAGTGGCACAAACTACTGGAAATAGTAAAAAACGCCTGGAAGAATTAGTGTAAATATGTAAATAGTTTCTGTTGTGTTTGTTCCAATCCAAATTTTTCTTCTCCTGATAGCCAAGACTTGAGAGAATGATGTGAAGGTGAGGAAAGGCTTGGTTACTGTAGATTTGTGTGTTTTTGAGAAAAGTACTGTTGGAATCAATTTCCGTTTTTGTTTTTTGGTTGACTTTGATGGTTCTGAATCTACTGTCACATTCATTTTACATAATTTTTTCACCCATAAACTGACACCCGAAAAAGATGTGTATATATTTGCTGTGCTTGAAAGGATAGAGTTGCTACGTAGATTAAAGAAAAAAAAACAGGCTGACCAAATATCGCAAAATATAGCTGGGACTTCTAAGGGTTAATGAACTACATAAAGAACTGCAGCTATCAAATGTGAAACTGTTCATGTCGAAATAGATATTTTGATGCTTGTAAATAGTGCCTCTGTGTAGGTTTTAGACCAAAAGTATGCAAATGATCAATCTTCGTAAAGAGTATTTATCCACTTTCTCACAGTTCATGTACTCGTTAAAGATTTTAAACTAATGAAGTCCCACATTAAGTGTATTGAAATGCATTGGCTTACGGTGAGTCTAAAAAAATTCATCAGGATCAATGTGACTCAGTCCAGAGCAGTGATTAATTCTGCACTGACACTGTTTTTGTTTTCTCGTGTGTGTGAGTGTGAGTGTTGGTTTCGGGGGGGGGTTGGACGGGAAGCAAAACACACAAAAAAAAAGAGGCTTGAGAGAAACGGCGGAAAAACAAGCAGAATGATTGACAGATGATCAGCATGACGGGCAGGCTGTCTGTTTGGCTCAGGGAGATTTATTCTGGTTGGCAGCGTGGATGTTGTGGGTGAGGGTTAACCCCTTTGTGTCCAGATCCGACCACACACACAGACACCACATACTCACACTGACACTCACAGGCCTTTACACTGACAGCATGGTGATTTTAAATCCCTGGACTCTGCTATGTTGTTCTCCTGCATCTTATCAGCGTGTTTTACATGTACTAAAAATTGCGTTTATGCTTGTTTTCTGCTCTGTTATTACAAATGTCATCCTCTTGGCTTTTAAGCATGCATGCCTGTACTTGCAGACTTATTTTGATTCTTTATGTTCTTGTAAGAGGTTTATTTTATATTCATCTCTCCTTATGATAACAGCAGCCGTAGCATTACACTCCTCTGAGGGTAGACCTTCTTTTGCTTTTGTGTGTCATGGGCGTATTAAGGCCATCCATTAAGCCTCTAGTGTCATGAAAGCGCACACACACAAAAACACACAAATCCCGCCATCTTTGTGTGCTTATACTGTCGCTGTTTATTCAATATTTCCTCTTGGGAGCGTCATTTTAATCCTCAGTGTAGATCCAGAACTTGGATTTGTTGAAAATGCTTCAAAAACTGCAAAACAGCACCTTTAGCCTGTTGATTTTATTTGTTGAGGTCTCTTCAGAAAGCTTTTTTTAAGTTCCCCTGAAAGCTATACCTTTGACATTTTCTGTATTGCACTTTCCACCGCTTTCGAGACGTGTAAGAAACCCCAGCATTTGCCGAGTCAGAGCTTAAATTCAGCCAGAAAACAGTTTCGAACGGGACAGTGGAGACGTAGCATCAGAGCGGCTTAAGCACGCTCCGTTTGGCAATAATATGATGGTCTTGGAAGTAAAGGAGACAGCTTGAGGCGGGGGGGGGGGGGATAAAAAAAAAGGGAAAAAAAGAGAGGGGAAAACAAGGGGGAGGGAAGGAGAGAGAAAAAACAGGGAGGGGACAGAGCTGACGTCCCGTCACCTGTTTGCCGGTTCGTTAGCCGAAAGCGCTACTGCTGCTACTGCTACCGCCGCTGCTGCTGCTGCTGCTGCTGCTCCGGATTCGTGCTCTCATAGGGGAAAAGCTTTTGATGCCTAATTTGCCGCTTGGCCGGGTTTGCGCATGGCTTGGTGCTCAGTGGAGTGGCTGTCCCGGTCACATCCTCTCCTAGAGTAGAATCCTCGGTTGGAGGCTCAGACGGGGCAGGATGAGGAGGCAGTACAGGGATGAGGGGTATCACCCGCGCTCAGAGGTACGTGAACCCTGAAGACGCTGATTTGAAAACTCCTGGGGTCTCTTGTGGAGATGGTTTGAGACAAAATGTTGCTTTTCTTTGATGGTTTTTGAAGAATCTTTATGAGGAATTTAACACCTCTTCCTCATCGTGCTGTTTTTCTTCCTTACTTTTACTTTTACAACTTTGTTCGTGTTATTCAGCATCAAGCCTGAGGTTGTCACGAAACTTCTGTCACTCGCTCATGCGGAGGGACCTTGGTGGAGAAATCTCTTGCATTTTAATCCTTCTTTGACTCACAGCTAATCCTTTCTCCTCTGTTTCTGTGCTAATTTTCCTCCGACTACTTCAGTTTCATTTCTCACTTCTTCCCTGTTTTCTCTCTTATGTTTTTGCTACAGCAAGCCTTGGACTCCAACCTGAGCAACCTGATCAAGAGGAACAACGAGCTGGAGTCCCTCATGGGGAAACTGATCCAGACTTGTCAACATGTAGAGGTGAGTCATTTTAATGTTCCTTTTGGGCTCAAAATGACCTAAAAATTATTCTAATTCTGAATTTACAGTTCTCTGTTGACCTGCTTTGGTGAAATATAATCTCTCTGTATATGCAAATAAGATTAGTCATGTTTTCTGCATGTTGCAGCTTAAAAATATGGTAAAAATTGTGCATTAATCAAATCTGATTTGAAGGTTTTATATGTAAATTTGTTAGTATCAAAGTAAGCTTTCTCTTGACTGGTGAGTTAGCAACTGACCAATTGCTTATGATATTTATATCTTCACTCATGATTGAGAAGATTGTTTGTTAGCTTAGCATGTTGCTAAGATTAGCAAAAACAAAGGTTGAAAAAGAAAAGTTTGTTTTTTTTTTTTTCCATTTATTTTTTCTCTGTCATTGTAGATTATTGAATTTTTAAACAATGTTGCTGGACTATAAGCAAACAAGATGATGCCAGGGCAAATTTTTCCTGTTTTGTAATTTTTTTATTTCATTTTATGAATGCTGCTACTGCGACCATCTGATGACATTTGAAATTCAAAAAAAAAAAAAAAAAACTTTTTTTTTGTTAAATCATAATTAAAACCGCGGTCAACCAAATCCCAAACTGTCCAAACACAAATTATGAAACACAAATTTCAATTTTGTGGCCCTCTTTTTATTCCAAATGTCACCAGAGGGCTTCCATAGCTCTAAATATGATTATCATTTCAACATAATTGTTAAAAATGTCTGGAGTTTTAATGCTTTCATGTCAAAATTATTACATTTCTGCCTGCATAAGGTCTTTTGTTTACATGCACTGATAATGCTAGGACTTATACGATTCCAAAGTTTTGAACTTACGATTATTCAAACTAGTTATTTAATAATAAATCAAAAAATTAATGTAACTATTATAGTAGAATATATTATTTTGAATCACAGATTTGATTAAAGAAAAGGCGAACATTGGTGCAGGTTATCAGTTAAACAGGTTCCCCCCCATGAAATCCAGAAATAGAGAATATTGCAGAGACTTCTGCTGTGAACAAGTTTTGAATGGACCTCCTTTTTGTGCTAAAAGTGCTGATAAAGTAGCTAATTTTGTGGCAGAAATACACTCCCACTCCTCTTTTTCATGCTTCTGAGCCGTTGGATCAGCTGAAACCGTTTAGCTTGAATTCAAAGCTGAGAGTTTGACTTCTCTTGACAGCTTAATTCGTGTCAAAAGTCGTGTGCGTCTTTTTGCAATTACTCAACATCTGGTCTTCTCTTCATGTTTATCATTAAAATAATTACTGTGTGTGAATGCCTGTGTGCAGGGCAATTCTGCTGCTAAGCCTGCCTGTTCATCTAGCGCCTGGCCCACTAAGAAGCTTTAAATAAAGCAATGCCACAGGGTTAAAAAGGCTGCGACATCTTGCTTTCGAAATAATGGAGAGCAGCCTCTCTGGCTGGCAAACCTTCACAAACTGCAAGGAAAGAGGATTGTGATTTACTTAGGAGATTTACTTTTTATTTATTTATTTCTCTGCCAGAGTGCTGTGTGTGTGTGTGTGTGTGTGTGTGTGTGTGTGTGTGTGTGTGTGTGTGTGTGTGCTGCGTTGCCATCACGTTAAGATGTTTGCTAGGAGCTTAGCTGGAGGGGAAATTTTGATGATGCAGGAATTTTAAACTGGGAAGAAACACTCGACCTCTTCGATCCCCTTGATTATTAAGAAAGGAACCAAGAAAAAGAAAACAAAAACACTTTCAAAAACATGAATAAATCAATAATGCATACATGAATGAACAGGAAAATGCTTGACCTATTTCTTTGCAGTGCATTATGATCTCAACTTTACCCACAGTGTTCATCAGAGATAACACGTTGTCTGTAGGTGGGGAAAGTCACACGCAGGGGAAGCAGTACTTTCACGCAAATATACATGCACATTCAGCTCGCCATGAGGCGTGAAGTGACAGTGCTAAAAAAAAAATAAGGTCATGCAGAAAAGAGCACTACACCGGCTACTTTGTCTTTCAAAATGAATATTTCACATCAGATTAATCTGCACTGAAGCTTTTAGGGAGATGGCTTCTGGGGATTTCTGACACATCCGAAGCTCCAGACTTCGTTCAAAGCTGGCGAGATGTTTTAAAAAGTACAGCAATTTAAGTTCTTCCTTTGACAAATTCAAAGCGGCGTAACAGGCATCCTACCTCATCTGTGTGATGAGGATTTTATCTGCTGCCAGGGTTAATGGGGGCATAAAAAGTTGCCAGTGGTCATCCAAAAAAGGACGCCTACGATAAAACTTTCTCTTAAACTGTGCCAACAATTTAACACAATGAGGTGCACCACATCAAACCAAATATTTGGACCTCTGTGAAGGTCCTTAGACACCGGGACAAACGCAAATATACAACACAAAATAAAGATATATTCAGAGGCGAATTTTGACGCGCCTGACTATACACATCAAGCCTGATGCAATTTTGCGAGTTTCTGGGGGGAAAAAAAGGCGCGTCCCAGGTGGAAGCAAGAAGACTGACACAACAGCAGACTGACTGTTTTTCAGTTCTGATTAGACTCTAGTGTTGAGATGTCTGTCTGTCATGATAGCATGTACTGAGTCGGGGCCAGTACCAGATAAACACATTAAACTATAATCCATAAACGTAAGGTAACAACCGAGACCTAATGGTGCTGTGACAGCAACGCCATTGAGTTTGAGACAGTGAATATACATATGGTATGTTGTATCTGAACAGGCTAGCTTATGAGCTAAAGTTACTTAGCACAGATGAAAGTTAAAACAAAGACATTTAGCAAACTGTTAAAGCACACAAACCATCGTCATATGAGAAGTCAGACGCTATGACTCTCCACAAGTTGTCCTTCAGGTCGTTATCTTTGTAATGTTTGTGTTTTTTTATCAAAAAGCACTCTGTTCTCCGACACGTAAACAAACAGCCGGTCGGCCATGTTGGATATACCGGTGAATCTGAAGTCGCAACAACACGCAATCTGATTGGTCAGAAGTGGACACACAGTATGCAAAACTTTAGAAAAATCGACGGTGATAGGAAAAAAATAATTCCGCAATATCCCAGGATGGGAAAACGCCGCTGATGTGAACACTTGTATTGACAGGAAACGAGTTCAAAAAAAATATTGACGTCCGAAATAATCGCACGAAAAAAAACGCTCCCGGTGTAAAAAGCTAACAAGATGCTATTGTTGGTATAATCCTTGAAAAATCAGAGGAACCCATGTTTTATTACGTCACACAAATCTGCAGTGTAGCTTCACCTCCTTTACTGAAAGCTGAACCTTCTAAAAGTTTGCATATCCCTCAGGATTGACTCATTTCTGTATTCATGCATGTGTGTGTGTTTTTTTCTGTGCTAAATGAGTCACTCAGTGTCCCTGCCAGGGTACAATCTGTCAGTCTGATCACAGGCTCCAGAGGCCCCTGCCCACAGTCATTAGATGTTCCACATCTTTCCGTGCCTTATGTACTCTGGTCACAAACTCTCTCTTTGTCAGTGTGTTGCGGCGCTTTTGAATTTTAACCCGATTTCTTAAAAGTCTACCTCCTTACACAAAATGATCATTACAGTGTTTTGGCTGCAATTTTCAATCATTATCCCTCATCCAAAAGAGATGGAACACTCTGTAAAATGTTAATAGAACAGATGCTGATGGTTTGCAATTCATTAAAACTCCATTTTCAATTTAATTATTAAAGGTTGAATCTGAAAAGTGTTATTTTTCTATGAAACTATAAGCTTATTTGAAATGTGATGCTAGCTAAAGTCGTGACTGGGATGATTTATGCTCACGGTCAGTGATTTTTGGATGTGAATTTGAGCTCATGCAGTGAGTTCCACTTCAGAGTCATGTCTGTTTTTAAAGCAGGGCCATCTGAGGGCTCAAAATTCATGGGCACAATATGATCTAAATCTATTACAGATATTAATGTATTTTCACACCCAGGAATACTATTTTGAGATTTATTAGCTATTTACTTTACTATTTACTTCTGCAGTCTTGCACAAAGTGGCAAATCTCAAATCTTTCTTCTACCTTGTCATGCGTTTACCCTTTTGCAAATCAACCTAATTAGATGGGAATGTCCCTTTATGTGCTTTTTGGGACATCTGTGCAACTTTTTCAGAGTTTTGTTGTCCCTATTTAAACATTTTTCAACTTTCAAGCGCATATTTCTTTCATAAAATATGAACTCTACTCACTAATATGCACAAAGCTGGAAGTGGAGTGATGACAGCCAATGTGGGGGTAATTGGTGTTTGTCTGCTGCAAACTTGTAGGCGGCTTTCAGGTCGAGAGAGCAATATTTCAGCTCTAGATCTTTATTTGAAATGAGTTTTTGATATTTACAGCCATTAAAAGTCAGAGAGAGCAAATCAGAGCTTTTACAAAAACCCAATGAACAATTGCAGCCAAGAGCAAAAACCTCAAACTTTCATTAGTGTTCCACTAAAGTGCTTCTTTGTGGTTGGAAAAAGTCGTTGGCCTGAATGAAGCATTGTAAACACAAGTGAGATTGCAAAAATATGGAGAATAACAAAAGACGTGGCTGCAAAAACATGCACTTTAGCATGCGGTTTTGGCATCTAATTTCAGGGGAGCTTCAACCCCAACATCCGATTGTTTACATCTCTACTGGCGTGCTAATTGGTGCACAAAATGCCACAAAACCATCCCATAAAAAAAAGTTTTTCAAACAGTATGCAGTTAAATCTCCCCGAGCTGTCAAAAGAGCTAATTAGCAGAGTCGAAAAGACAGATGCACCCATCCCGTGTACAGCAGGGTTTAAGCGTTCAGATTAGCATGTTTCACACAAAACACAGGATATAATCCAGGTGGCAAATTGTGTCTGTTGGCAACACTTTCGTGGAAAAAATCAAATAAATGCAGTTTCAGGCGGCAAGTGGAGGAAATCGAGGAAGTCCTTCCAAGCTCTGGTAGGCTCTAGGGAAAAAGAGTGAATGACTCCCGATGATGTCATTAATGAAACACCTGTCAACATGCGTGTGTGTGTAAAAGGCGAGTGTAAGTGTGTTTGAATAACTGTGCAATCTCCTCTTGGCTTGGCAACACTCACAGCGGACTTCCTCTTTCATTGCTCCCTCTGCTATCGCTCTGCTGCAGCGAGAAAACGCTTTACAAGGTGCTGAAAGGGCCACTAGGAAATGACCACAATGAGGAATTACACATTATGTAACGGCCCGCAGGATCATAATTGGACTTGAACAACTTTTATAGCCGCTCGGGCTGTAAAGCTTCCAACTGGAAGGAGAGTCGAATGCATTGGGAGAGTTCGGTTGTAGCTGGATGTCATTTTTTTCTCCTAAGACCCTGCATGGCAGGGCGCTGCAGTTTAATCAGCAGCATCAGTGGCGTTTTACGAAACACCTTCCAGCTTAATTAAATAGCTGATTTAAGGTTTAATTGTCAGTGGCGGGTTTTACACCAAGCAGATGTTTGAATCCAAAGTCAGAAAAACTTTCAAATTAAAGGTGGGGTAGGCAGGATCTGAGGAAGTGCCAGTTTTTGGGAGAAATCTTGAATGTAAACACAGCTCCTCCTCTCCCCTCCCTCTCTGATCCAGCAAGCCCCGCCCACAAACAGACGCTCCTGCTTGCTCATATCATTTCAATTGAATTCAGATATAATGAAGATAAATACTTCAGATAATTACAAATGGGGCCCAGTCAATGTGAAAGTAAAAAGTATTGGTGCTACTGTAGATGCCAACAGACTACCAGCAAACACAATGTTTGCAGGACTTTCAAAACTAGGATAAAGTGACATAGTCCAGGACCCGAGGTAAACATTTTAGTGGCGCCACAACACGCAGCAGGTCCCGTTTGACAAGAAACACTTTTCTTACACTTGGCTTAGTTTGTTAAAGCGGTTTACCTGTCCAGCAGAAAGGTTACAGGGTCCTGAAGCATCCCCCATCATTATTGACCCGACTTCTTAGCTCTTGTCCGGTCTACCTCCGTTCTAAGCGGCCGTTATTCCGCCAGAGTCTTCAGTATTTACTTTGTTTTATTGCTTATGTTTTCCATGCTTTCTGGTTGATTTATACTGTTTACAGTCAGACAGAACGGGCCGCTCAAAAATTTTAAAATGTTGACTACACAGACTTAACAAAACACAGCGATATCATTACATTACCAAATGTCATCAATAACTAATTGATATTGACTGATATTAAAAGGTTTTTTGTATATAAACCACAAAAAAAGATGCTTCTTTAACGGATTCCTGCTTACCCCACCTTTAAGGCAAGAAAGCTCAGTTTCAAACTGAGTGATTCGTCTAAATGGTCACCATTGAAGGAAACAATAATATGCTTAACCCTACAGAGAAATAAGCAAGTTTTATAACTCTAGTTTTGACATCTTCCAAGGCTAATTTACTTAATTCAATTATTGGACTTTTTAATGAATCTATTTTAGGAGTTAAGTACAATGTTCCTAAAGTGGTATTGGGTTGATATGGTGTACTTCAAAGGGGCTTATTTCCAACTCTATCCCCAGTGTCTAGCCCTCCAGAATATCGCTAAGTGTCATGTCTGCTTTCAAACAGCCGCAGGGCTTCCTGCTTATTTCGCTTGTCAGTCAGCACTCAAGCCAGCAGGAGGCAAAGTGCCTGAATATGCCTCATCTTCCTCAAGTGTCTGCCTCAGACAGGAGGGACGGCTGATGGATGAAAATGACATCCTGTCCCGCAGTCGGCATGATGTGGAGCCTTTAAACATATATCCCTGCATGTCCTCCACCCCCAGCCCTCATCCATCCATCCATCCATCTCTTTGTTCATCTCACAGTCTCTTTGAATTGGTTCTCAGGTGAACGCATCCCGTCAGGAGGGCAAGCTCATGGAGGAGTGCGATGTCCTGATTGAAATCATTCAGCAGAGGAGGCAGATCATTGGCAGCAAGATCAAGGAGGGGAAGGTGAGTTGAGCACTCAAAGGGGTGAGGAGCATGACAGGAGATGCGATTTATTTCTCTTCGCCAGTTTTTATAGCCATCTTTCACTCAACATCCTTGCACTTTCTCACACCCCCAACAGAGATCCACATTTTTTATTTATTTATTTTTTCAGGAGAGCCAAAAGTTACTGACGGAAGCTCTTTGCTGGTTATGTTCAGCCACAAAAAGCAAATTGACATTTTTTTCCGACGCTAAATGTACTTTAAACCATATTTGGGTTTTAAAACACAGTTTCACTGGAATCATTTTTATTTGGCATGTTTTACTGGCATGGGAAAAACATATGTTACAATCCAACTCTATGCTGCCGAATGTAGTGTGCATTGTGATTTTCTTCAGTATAAATTTCTAAGCATGTAGATTGTGGTTGGTTTTTCTAAATGTTTTTATTTATCCCGTTTCTGGCTGCAGTTGAGTATGTTTAGCACTTAAGCATCATGTTAGGTAGCGTCACATAAAATGGCATCACTTAAAGTAACGCTACTTAAAGCAAAATATTAAAAAAGTTAAATCACGTCATGTCACGTAACCTAACATCAAGTAATGTCAGTTGGAGTAACATCACTTGAAAGTGACGTAGCATCACCTAAAGAAGTGTAGCGTCGTGTTAAGTAGTGTAGCATCAAGTACAATAGCGTAGCATCTCATAAAGTAGTGTGGCATCATGTAAAGTAGTGTAGCATCATGTATTGTAGCACAGCATGATGTAAAGTAGTGTAGCATCATGTAAAATGGTGTAGCATCATGTAAAGTAGTGTAGCATCATGTAAAATGGTGTAGCATCATGTAAAGTAGTGTAGCATCACGTATAGTGTGGCATCATGTAAAGTAGTGTAGCATCATGTATTGTAGCACAGCATGATGTAAAGTAGTGTAGCATCATGTAAAATGGTGTAGCATCATGTAAAGTAGTGTAGCATCATGTAAAATGGTGTAGCATCATGTAAAGTAGTGTAGCATCACGTATAGTGTGGCATCATGTAAAGTAGTGTAGCATCATATAAAGTAGTGTAGCATCATCTAAAGTAGCATCATGTAAAGTAGTGTAGCATCATATAAAGTAGCATCATGTAAAGTAGTGTAGCATCATGTAAAGTAGTGTAGCATCATCTAAAGTAGCATCATGTAAAGTAGTGTAGCATCATCTAAAGTAGCATCATGTAAAGTAGTGTAGCATCATCTAAAGTAGCATCACGTAAAGTAGTGTGGCATCATGTAAAGTAGTGTAGCATCATATAAAGTAGCATCATGTAAAGTAGTGTAGCATCATCTAAAGTAGCATCATGTAAAGTAGTGTAGCATCACGTCAAGTAGTGTAGCATCACGTCAAGTAGTGTAGCATCATGTAATGTAGCGTAGCATCATGTAAAGTAGCATCATGTAAAGTAGTGTAGCATCATGTAAAGTAGCATCATGTAAAGTAGTGTAGCATCATGTAAAGTAGCGTAGCATCATGTAAAGTAGGGTAGCATCATGTAAAGTAGCATCATGCAAAGTAACATAGCATCACGCAAAGTAGTGTAGCATTATGTAAAGTAGTGTAGCATCATGTAAAAAAGCGTAGTATCACTTTTACTAATGCAGCATCACGTAAAATAGCGTAGCATCACGCAAACTAACCTAGCATCATGTCATGTAACGTAGCAACACCCAAAGTAGCGTTGTAATAAATAAACTTGATAAAAAAACTTAAACCCGATGTTGCATCATGTGATGTGATGTCACATCTTACCAAATCATGTTCAAAACGCCACGTAATGCCACACAACACTATGCAGTGTTACACTTTGCTAAGAAACACAACACAATGCTAGCTATTGCAATGTAGCATTACATAACGCATTGTATCATACTTATGCTGCACCAAATCATACTGTATCATACAGGTTAAAATGGTTCCTTTACTTCACAAATGAATCTGTGAACACGCTCTCTGCAGCCTTAGTTTTCTACACTGATGTATATTAAATTACGAACCAATCAACTCTCTTAGTATCTGTGCAGCTGGGTGACAAGCATTAAAAATCCAAAGCTTTTTATCACTTCAGCCAAATTGACTTTCAATGCCTCCATTTTGTGACAAATGTATTACTCTCAGCCATCTGACTTGATCCTAACATGGTGAGCAGACGGCAAACTGCTCATCTTCCTAAATTGCAGACCCTTTGACACATCCTGAACAGACGGGGAAAACAGTCTGACTTGCCAGGAGTAGATCCCAGAGCATATGGGAGGACGCGCTACTAGTACTCTTAACCCAAATGATTTTTTTCAAATCTGTGCCTAATGAGAACGGGAGAATACTGGAGATTTTTTTTATCACCCTGTAATGTTGGCTTTTAGCTTTTAGGATGCATCAGAGAAGATAAAAAGATATTTATTTCCAAGCCAACAAATTTATACAAATTGCTTTCGGTTGAGTGCCGAATCATTATCATTAAAAACAGAAAATACTCTTTTCTGAGAACAGATTTCAGCTTGCAGTCTGCTTTACGTTCCCACTTTTAAACAGGGTGATGACTTAGCAATTTTCGAAGGGATTTAAACTGAGATTACATTGTTTGGGTTTCTTTACAAGCCAAAGTCCTGATGAAATATACTTCGACCTCAATCCAGCCACTGACCTCAATCTGTCTCTAAAAATCTCTGCTCGCAGCGTGGGGAGAGGGAATGAAACTAAGGGGGAAACAGGAGGAAAATAAATCCTGATTTTCTTCCAATAGAGTCATGGAGATACCTCGAAAGGTTAAGCACAATAATGGGAGGGGCTTAAATCATGATCTTCTGCCTGTCATTTTCTTTTGTGATGGAAAGCTTTGTGATACAGTCACAAATATCTCCATTTATTTGGGATACAGCATTAAAAAATCAACATAAAAGGGTCTAAAATCATCCGTTTTTTTAGATGTGACAGTAGATGACAATGTGGTTGCTTGGATATGTCATAACCGGCATTTTAAGCCCTCAAATATAAAAATGTTGATGGTGATGAAGGTCAACAAAACATGCACATCGCAAGTGTAAACAGCTTTGAATAAAGGTCACATGGTGTGACTTTTTGGTTTTCTGAGCTTGGTGTTAGTTCAGGCAGGCCACAAGTCAAGCTAAGGTTAAACTAGCTTTTTTGACTGAATTTGCATGGCAGCAATAGATTCGCTGAAGTGTCAGCTGTGACTGCAGAGGCTGGTTGCGTCATTATAATCACACTTGCATTACCACAGAGTCATCATTTAGCATTCCCTGACAACCAGGGGCATGAATACTGTTCATAATTTAGTAGCAATGCCTCCAAATGTTTGGAAAATAGCCCAAATCCAAATTATTTTTCTCTAGTATGAGCAAAGCAAAGATTTTTGTGGGTGCTTAGTCAGGCTTATGAATTCATCACATAAGCATTTCACGTTTAAAAGCCAAATTTTCAAAGGCTCAAGGCAACGGATGACTGACATATTCAGGCCATTCACTATAATTAACATTCCCTGATGTTCCAACCAGTTTGAACACTAAAATATAAAGACATGTGCTGTAAAGAGTGACTGTGTGCGCCAGACAATTCTTCATTTGACCCTTGGTGGACAAATGACATTGAAATATTTACATCCTCTCCCCCCTCCACCAGTTAATCTCCATCTTTTACGGTCAGTTTCTTCTCCTCCGCTCTGATTTCACTCTTCATAAGGCATGCTCAAGCATTCTTGATTTGATTATTTCCAACTCTTTCCAGGCACAAAGACTGCGTAAGCTCGCCCAACAGATCTCCAACTGCAAGCAATGCATCGAGAGGTCCTCTGCCCTCATCACACAGGCTGATCAGACGCTGAAAGAAACTGATCACGCTCGCTTCCTGCAGACCGCCAAGAGCATCAACGAGAGGTCAGACAGCCCACGCTGGCCCACACATGTCGAAATTATTCAGCTAAGCAAACTCAAGTCTAGCTTTAGGGAAAGGGCAAAGAGTCCACCCAGATATGCTCAGAAACCGTTTGAGAACTTTTTACTTGATTTCCCCTGACAGCAAAAGGAAATCAACTCACATTAACCTGCCTTCTTAAGCTTTTTTGATTAATTGATTTGACAATTAAGAACAAAAAAAGTCCCACTTGATATCCTCAGGAAAAAAAAAGTGAGTGATAGAAAAAGAAATCAGAAGAACTTGTTTATTAGAAGGACTGATTTTTCACTTGGAGGTTGTTGATCTGATACTTAATCAGCTAATCTGCTCCGTTGCAAAATGCACATTTAGAGGTTTTTATTTAGCAGAAATAAAACAATAAAACTAATTTATTCCTTTTTTTGTTTGGTGTTGATCCAGGGTTTCAATGGCGACAGCGTCCACCCAAGTATTGATCCCTGAGATTAACCTGACAGACACCTTTGACACTTTTGCCCTGGATTTTGCCAGAGAGAAGAAGCTGCTGGAGAATCTGGATTACCTTACAGGTACACCTTTTTGTTCACAAAGACTTTAAACTTTTTAAAGTTGAAAAAAGATTCCATTTAGAAGAGTGCTTCTGTCCTGTTTTTATAAATTTGGGGCAGTAATTTGGTTTCAAATTCAGTGGGCATAAAAATCAAAGTGCACAAAGCCTCCAGAGTTGGGATTATTGTTTCTTTGTAACTTTAATTAAGTAGAGTTTTATCCATTTATGTAACTGCTTGAGTGCTCAATTTTCCTTCAATCCAAGGCTTTTATGACTGAAATTATAAAAAAAAAAAAGATTCCCCATAAAATCAATTTTTCAGTCTTCTGAAAAGCCAAATGGGATTATCTTTTATTCATCTGAGTCAGAGCAGAATTATCTGCCAAGAAAGTTTTTTGCTATTTTTGCTGGCAATGGGTCACCTGCTCTACCAACCAAGCCCAAATGGCACATTTAGTACCGAAAGCTGTCCTATACATCAGTGCATTGGGGTATGTTCTGAGGGGTGGCCAAGGCTAGTTCACAAGGGTCTGGACACACCCCCTGCTGATGCAACTGGATTAAAATGTAATGCTGTCATGGCAGCCAGGGCAGTTGCCTCAAAATTAGCCCCATCTCAGTGTGTACAGCCACATTACTGCTCAACGCATGTTGGGATACACAGCAGGCAGATAAGTAGGGCTGGGATTATATGTTTTTCTCCCAATGGATGCCGATTCGAATTAAATTGCGATTCTACGATATTGTAAATTTTCTCGATTTTTAGTCTACATTTTTAACACCAGTGAAAAAAAGTTGAATGATTGTGATTGTCTCCTGACTATTCCAGGAACCATATTTGCCCAAAAAATACACATCACATATGAGTCAGTTTTTAAGATTAATTCTTAATTTAAAAAAAAAAAAAAAAAAAAATAACATGATAATTGATTTAAAAATTGTAAAACAAAAATCGTGATACTAATGTGAATCGATTTTTTTCCCCCACCCCTACTGATCAGGCTGGCGACGTAACTTCAAACGGCTTTTAAGTCATTATCATGCATTTAAAGAGGTGGTTTTATGCTTTTACATACTTTTACTAACAGATATTAAGTTAAAATGCTGGATAACGAGACTAAACCTTTCAGACTGTGAGTTAAAAATAAGTTTAAAGCTTCTGTGAGGAGGCTGTTTGACATTTACGGAATAGACCGAAATTCATATCAGTGTTTTTTTATGATATCCTAAAGAAAATGAGGCCATCAGCAACAAGACCGACCATCTTTAAATTAAAGTTTTTAATCGCTAAAATTGGTGCAAGGACGTAGGTGTCAGTCTTGCAGCTGAAGAAACAGATCTATTTTTACTATTTCCACATGAAATGTTCAAAATAAATGACTGTAAAAAGTCATAAGATTTTGTCAAAAATCACTGCTTACACACGTAGAATTTTGTTAAAAGAAACCATGATGTAGCACTTACCAAACCAAAGAAGACTCACTTGTACCTCTCTGAATTTTATGGGTTAGATTCAGGGTCTGAGTCGTATGGTCATAATTTATAATGTGCTATTTTAGGTAGAGTATCACAATATGACAATTTTGGAGCATGGCAACTGTGGAGGAGGTTTCCAGGGAGCTGGGTCACAAAGTACGAGGGGAACCTTAAAAAGACAGAAGCTGAATGGGAGCATTTCAGTCAGAGAGTGAAATGCAGGTTCTCAAAGAAGATAAGTTATGTTGTAGCCTGGCAACAACGAAAGAGGTTCCTCGAGAGCAAACTATATCCCAGAATACAGGGGGACCAACTGATGTGCACATTAAAATACATCTCATGTAGTAATATCAAATTTAGTATTTTGTAATTCAGTCCAAAGTTTGGAAATATTAAACTGCCTGAGGTTTGGTTGGTCTAAAACTGAAATAACGAACAGAAACGTCCTTCAGAGGGATACTTATAACTTTGATCTCCTGACTCTATTCTTTTTTGCCTACTTCTTCCTCTATCAGAGCCTCAAAACAAGGATATCAGAACACCTAAGTGTAATAATGTGTCATTTTTCTGCCTCTACTCTCCTTTAATGTTCTCCAAAGTTCAACTCACAAACCAAACATCACGTTTTGTTTTCTCTTCGCTCTAATCCTCAACTTCAGCTCCTCACTGACCATGAAACCAAACATCGCCTCTAATTATGATTCCAGTCCAGCTTGAAATTCAGATGTTTTTGTGTTCGTTTGAAGTCTGCTGTCTTCAATCACTAGCGTTTGAAGTAACAGGGCCCCGGCCTATTAACTCCAAAATTAATTTTCAACATTAATTTCTGATGTCCCATTTGCGAGGCGCCATCCAAATGTCACCGCATGAATTACGAGCACGCCGGGAACGAAAAACAAGGCATCATGTGTAGCGGAATCGAAAGTCTGTGAAAAAGGCTGGCTCATATTTATTCTCCCGTGATGCATGAGGGCTTCGCTGGAGGGCCTTTTCACTAAGTGAATCAGCCTGAATCACTCCACTATGTGCAGCCACTCATGACAGAAGGAGAGGGAGAGAATGACAGACAGTGAAAGAGATAGGAAGTGGCTTAACAATCAATTTCAGCTCTTGCTTTGCGTCTTTACTTCTTACCTTAGGCCTCCTCTTCTCCATATGGAAGAGTCATGTTTATTTATGCTGCTACTGAACAAAAATATCTACAGTATATCTCAATTAAGTGCACATAAATCGATACGTGAGTGTTAGAAATCCAATGGGGCATCTCTGCTTATATAACAATTCCCATTAGTTACTGCTAAAAGGATTGTGTTATTTACCCTCCCCTCTGTGCTGATGTGTTTATCTGAATATTTTATTAATCCAATCCCGCATAGCTTTTAATGCTCAATCTACCGATCTACTGGAAAGAACATCTTAAATCCTGTGAGTAAAGAAGATTTTAAACACAAACAAACATGAACAAGGTTAATCAGGGCTGCTGTTTGCTCAAACAAGTGTCAACCCTCAAGTGTCTTTTCTGAATATTGCAAACGATATCTGCAGATATATTCGGCTGCGGTGCAGAAACTGACAGATGATTCTCTGCTTTTGCACTCTGCAGCTCCAAGTGCCCCGTGCATAAGGGAGGAGTTGTGCACCGCGTCCTACGACACCATCGCCGTGCACTGGACATCTGATGATGAATTCACAGTGGTGTCCTACGAGCTCCAGTACGCCATCTTCACCGGGCAGTCCAACATAGCCAGTAAGTATGTGAAGCTGTGTCAAGAAAGGAAGCACTTATGTTCCCTCCAAAGTCCCAGATTTGTGGAAACAAATAATCTTGTGGGAACAAATGATCATCTTGTTAGTTATCTTGTGCCTACAATGTCATTATTATCACACGTTAACTATCTTGTGGAATCAAACTATTATCTTGACAGTTAAGTACTTTGCGGAGACAGGGTAATATCATTTTGAGGACACAAGCTAATCATCTTGTGGGAACAAGTTAAGTATCTTGTCGGTACAGGCATTAATGATCTTGTGGGAACAGGCTGTAATCTAGAAGTAGCCATTCAGTTATCAAGCTATTATCATGTGGGAGCATTTTGGTTATCATGGATTAATCCTGGGATCTAGCTGTTATCTTGCGAAAGAATTTTATTCTTAATCATCTTGTGTTCACACTGTGGAAATGTAAAGTGTCAACAAGTTAATTATCTTGGAAAATATCTTATTACTTTGTGGGAAAAGTTAAATTAGTAGAAATATGTTACAATCTTGTGGGAACAAAATTACAATAACGTGGGAACAAGTCACTATCTTAAAGAATAAAGAAAGTTATCTCGTAGAAATACGGTATATCTTGAAATAACGGGTTATTTTTGGGAACAAAGAAATTAGCTTGTCAGAACAAGTTAATCATCTTGTGGGAATAAAATTACAATTATGTGGGAACAAGTCACTCTAGCTAATATCTAATTAAAACATGACAACTCCCCTTTAGGAATAAGTAATTTATCAAGACAATCATTTCTTGGGAACAGTCACCATCTTAAAGGAATAAGATAGTCACCTCGTAGTAATAGGGTATATCTTGAAACAACAGGTTATTTTGGGGAACAGGGCAAATTGTCTTGTAAGAATAAGTTCATCGTCTTGTGGGAACAAAATTACAATTATATGAGAACAAGTCACTCAAGCTGATATCTAATTAAAACATGACAACTCCTCTTTAGGAATAAATAATTTATCTTGTGGGAACTAGTGATTATCTAATGAGGAATATAGGAATATAATATTATGTGGGAACAAGTTAATTATCTTGGAAAATATCTTATTACTTTGTGGGAAAAGATAAATTAGTAGAAATATGTTACAATCTTGTGGGAACAAGTCACCATCTTAGAGAATTAAGAAAGTTATCTAGTAGAAATACTGTTTATCTTGAAATAACAGGTTATTTTGGGCAACAAGGCAAATTGTCTTGTCAGAACAAGTTAATCATCTTGTGGGTACAAAATAACAAGTATGTGGGAACAAGTCACTCTAGCTAATATCTAATTAAAATATTACAACTCCCCTTTAGGAATAAGTAATTTATCTTGTGGGGACTAGTGATTATCTCATGAGGAACAAGTTAATGTTTCATATATTTTCTTGTGGGCGAGTGCTTTTCTTGTGGAAATGAGTTACTTCCATGTGGGAACAGGTTACTGTCTAATCTACAGAGGTCAGAATCTTGGATGTGGGGGGTTAGGAGTACACTACCTTCAGTGATCTAACTGAGTAGATGTGAACAGATTAGACACTGACACGATGCAACAAGTCGCCGTCATGTCCTTTCCTGTTAGTACATGTTGTTCTGCTGGAACTGCAAGTGAGATTTCATCCGTCACATTGAAGTCTGCCCACATGAGCTCGCAACAGCCCCAGGGGTCAGGTCTTTCCTAGAAAACATGGCTCCAACATTCACAGATCTGCCTTCTTGTTGTCGTGTCGCTTCTAATTGGGTTTCGCTGCTTGAATGCAAGAACTAGTTTATTCTGTTCAAGCAGGCTTCGTGAGATCCATAGAGTGCAACTTTAGCACTCTACTGGTGACCACTAGCCCCCCTAAGGCAGCTGGGAGTTGAAGGATGAGACAGCAGTGGAAAGGGGAAGCCTCTAGCCTTCATGCTACTATCACTCCCAACATCACATCACTGTCGCTTGTAAGAGATTCGAAGATAGCGTAGCAGAGGATTCACATCGCGTTCAGAGCAGTCGGTAAAAAGCAGCACTTCAGTGACTTCACACATCCATACATGCGTTTAGGTTTTTCGGCGGCGCTGTAGGAGTGAGACGTCGTATTAGAGGGGATGAAAGCCGTAAAATGAATCCCGGGCACACACTGAGCGACACAGTGTCTCGTCGAATGACAGCAGATGTACAGTACACGCCGACTTACACACAGGGCCTCGAAAATCACAGGCACACTCCAGTGAGCAACAACTACAAGGGAGAAAAATGGGGTCAGGGCATCTGAAGACGAGCTCCCCTGTTCGCTTTCAATCAAACTGCCTTTTCTCTGTCTTTCACTCTCTTTTTTTTTTATTCTCCTTTCAAATAGATTTACCTCACGGCAGAAACTCTGCCTTTCTTTCTCCTTATTCTTTCCTCGTTTCTGTACAATTTAAAAGCAGATATCAAATAAACAGTCATCAAACTAATGTGGCATTTACCGTTTTTTTTTTCCCTTCCCTTATCTCACTCCTGTCTCTCTCTCTTCATTAAATTGCCCTGATTTTTCTCACCTCCTGCTCTCACATCCGACAACGTTAAAAGTGTTGCTGTTGGCATCTCAGCCACGTGCGGGCAAACTCCCTCCGGAGCAATTTAGATGAATCACCACGCAGGAAGAAGCAGTCTTGTGATGTTAATGTAATAAAAAGCATAAACAATAAACTTGGATATTCACGCGATGGTTTAGCGCAGGAGTCTGAATGGATTTCCTGTGGGAAATATGTGTTTAAATGGTAGCGTCTGATTTCATTTCTCTTTTAATTTGATGAGACTCGTAATTTGTTGCATATTAAACTGAGACAGTTATGTATTATCTTTAATTCAGAGAAATCGGATACAATTAGCATATTCATAACACAACTCCTATTCAACAGTTCACAACAAACTGAAATCTGACCCAAAAGTTCTAAAAGTTGAACATTTTTATCCAAGAGCAGAATGTGCTGAATCATTAAAGATTAGTTTTTTTTAACCTGGGCCTGTGCAATTGCGTGTCATGAAACGGCGACCACTAAAAGTGCGGTATTTCCCCACTGTCAGGCTCAGATTGCTATTACAAGTCCTAAGGATTGAATGGCACTTGTCCTGGTCTGTGTACAACCAAATCTCGTTGGTTGCGAAGTCTCACAAGATCTCACGAGTTACAGAAAGACAACGGAAGACACATGAGTGAGTGACACCGGATACAGTCAGATATAAGCTTTGTGGACAAGCTTCAAAAGTTGTTCCTTACAGATAATGACATGGAGTCACAGAATAACTAAAAGGTGTTCATGTGATAATTATCATGCAGGAAACAGTCGGTATCTTGTTCACACAAGATAACACTTTCTCAAAAGATGATAACCTGTTTCATCATGATAGATAGATAGAAGATAGATATTTTGTTTCTAAAATGTATCTTGTTCCCACAAGGAGTTATTATTTTTTGTGAACAAGATAAAATCTTGTTCCAACTTGTTGATATCTTGTTTGTAAGAGATTATTGTATTCTTTCCGCACACACTTTGTTCCCACAACATCGCCTGTTTGAATAAGGCTTTGGTGTGTACACAAGATATACTCGTTTGTTGTTTCAAAGTAACCAGTTCCCACAAGATATAACTTTGGTTACACAAGATAACCAACCTGTTACCGCATATTAAAGCTTTAACTCTTTTCCAAGATCACTTTATGTTGAACGCAAGATAACGTCAAATGAATGCATTATTATTAAATAGGTTGCTCCCACAAGATAATTGGTACATGTGAGATTTTGACTTGAATCCATTTACTACGAAATAAAAGCTTATTTACGCAAGAAAATAAGCTGCTCCAACAAGATGATTTAATCCTATTTTTTTCGTGTGTGCTCTTGTGAGCTCAAGAGACAGGGTTTTGTGAAATGTTTTTTATTAGTTAAAAGACAGACTGAGATTAATATTGATGCTTTTGACCCACAAAAGCCAAAAAAGATTATAAATGATGAGCTCAAAAGTTCACATCTTTGCTCCAAGGTAGCCAACAAAAAACAGCAGTACAGTAACTTCTTGTGAATATTCCAAACAAAGCCTCCACACTCACAACCAGAAAGGAAAACATACACACATGCATCGATGTTAAAGCATTAGGAGGTCAAGAAGTGCTTCTGCCGGCTTGAAACACGCTTAAGACTGACACGAATACAGAGCCGAGAAAGCCAGAGAGGTGTAAATGTAACCCCGCTGTGCCTTTTCACACCATCTCACCTGTAGGAGGCTCACATTCAACTGAATATTTAGCTCACTGCCTTTTCGAACAGCTTCACACTCCAAGAAACTTTCAGACAAAGATTTGTGACTGTTTCTGTGTTGTTTTTCTTCGGCTGAAAGAACTGGCACTTATTAGTCGATATGTTTTTTTGCTAATGTCTTTTCCTTCACTGCTTCGTCTATGAATTAAGCACAGCATCTGCTCCAGGATATATATATTTTTTGAGCTGCCGTAAACAGCTGTAAATTTCGAGTATGGTTTCTGGTTGAATTAGCTGTCAATGCACCGTATCATCCGTGCTTTTATTCTCCATATCTCACTCTGCAGTTTCCCCCTCCTCTCTCTCTCTCTCTGCAGGTCTGTGCAACTCGCTGGAGAGCTGGATGATTGTTCCCAACATCAAGCAGAACCACTACACAGTGCACGGTCTGCAGAGTGGCACCAAGTATATCTTTGTTGTCAAGGCCATTAACCAAGCGGGAAGCAGGAGCAGTGAACCGGGGACTCTGAAGACCAACAGTGAGTATAAAACGGTTAAAAATGAGCATTCCATATAGGATTGACCTTGACTGAAAAACCATGTGTAAACACTCATAAAGAAGTAGCTTATTAGCGTTATTATTTCTCATGCTACATTTGCTCAGTGCTCAGATTTCCCCTATTGGCAAACATGAAATTCAATTAAGTGAAAATAAATGAGCTTTTTCTGTAAAGACTGTTCTCTGTTACAGATCTCAAGACATTTCAGAGCTTTAATTTGCTTTTTCATTTCCTCTTTCTTCTCTAAAGGCCAGCCTTTCAAGCTGGACCCCAAATCGGCCCACAAGAAGCTGAAAGTGTCCCACGATAACCTGACAGTGGAGCGGGACGAAACCACGTCTAAGAAAGGCCACAGCCAGGAGCGTTTCACCAGCCAGAGCAGCTATGGCGTGGTGGGAAATGTCTACATTGATAGCGGTCGTCACTATTGGGAGGCTTTAATCGGAGGGAGCACATGGTAAGACTTTGGAAACACCCTTGAGTAAATCTCAGTTAAAGGAATATTCCGGCATAAAATTAATTTAGGGTCAAGCACACTGTAACACCAAATTAGACATCCCCTCAAGAGATGAATGTTGCCGACCGCTTCCTTCTCTAATTATACCAGTTTTAGTAACGACCGCACGATAGAAATACACAGCGGTCTCAGAAGCCACACAACAACCTCAACCAAAATGGCACTCTATACAAATAATGCTCAGAACAGCACCTAACTTCATCAACAGTACATATAGGGTACGGAATATCCCTTTAAACCATTCATCAATTGGGATAGAAAATGATGGCGGCTGCTTACTTTTAGGGTAGAGTCTTGTTGTGTTCATCTGTAAAACTCCGCTCTAATAGAAGTTTCTGCTCTTCCACAGGTACGCTGTAGGCATAGCCTACAAATCCGCCCCGAAGCACGAGTGGATCGGCAAGAACTCGGCCTCCTGGGTGCTCTGCCGTTGCAATAACTCTTGGGTGGTTCGCCACAACAGCAAAGAGCTGGCCATCGAACCCTCGCCCCACTTGCGGCGCGTCGGAGTCCTTTTGGATTACGACGCCGGTTACCTGACCTTCTACGACGCCGTGGGCTCCCAGCACCTTCACACGTTTCACGTCTCCTTCGTCCAGCCTGTGTGTCCTGTGTTCAACGTGTGGAATAAGTGTCTCACAATTCTCACCGGCCTACCCATCCCAGACCATCTAGAGGGACTGGACCCCCAAGACTGAACAGAACAAATACCAGTTAAATCTATATTAAATGGTCTTGATTACTTTGAAGCTGTACTGGGTAAATTTTTTGAAATGGTCTTTCAAAACAACCAGAAACTATAACTCTAAGCTTCTCCTTTCCAACGAACGAACATGAGGAGGCAAGTCGGGTTGAGGAGCAGCTAAGGGTTTGCAGGAGAAGCAGGAAGAGTAGGCATGATCACCCAGTACAGCTTTAAATGCCAAATTTTCTCACTCTCCTTGAGTTGTATGCTATAATTTCTAGTAAGTTAATTTAACTTTTGAAAGCTTGGAGCAAAACCTGTTCTAGGTGGATTATATTCAGCTTGAATCAATGCAAAAGAAACCACATTACATGGACAGAGCCGAGCCGAAAGTCTTGACTGGAAGGCACTTTGGACACACCAGTACCATGGCAACAAGGAAACAAGCCACCAATCAATTTCTAATTTTCACCTTATCTAATATAGCACTTTGAAAATACCACACATACATACACTTCGGCACCTCAACTCTAATCAATCACAGTTGCTGGAAGGAGCAGAACAACAGCTGTACATTTTTGTATATTCAACGCACCTCTTCCCCTTACCTTCCCCTCGTTTTATTAACATGGAACCAAAGTAGCCATCGCTGTCCGTTCAGATGTCTTTACGTAAAATTTTAATTAAGTTAATAAATGCTGAAATATTTTTAAGAAGTGAAAGAGAGGAAATAGCGTTACGCTAATATTAAATGCAGGATTCCCTTAAAGGTAGAGCTTGTTTTTTGCACATTGTTTAAACTTTAATCTTGGTTCTCTTCGTCTATTTGGTGCAATTAACATGCATTTATTATGGGAAAGTGTTGTGCTTTTATCTGACTTGTTGTGATGATTCTTTTTTATTTCTTTTTGATTTTATGTGATACATCATGTGTGAGTTGAATTATGGTTGTAGCCCCGGGTTATTAGCAGAGTTGCGGGGTTGAATGCACAATTCGATGGTTGTTTTTTTTTTTCTCGCTTTTCTATAAAACAAGCATTTGACTGTTTCATGAGGGAAGCTTGATGACTAATTTGCTCTCGTGTTCCCATTTATCTTCTCGAAATATAACTTTATATAACATGTTATACTAGATTTAATTTAAATGCATTACAAACATGTCTTCTTTACATTTTTTTGAGACAACAGAAAAGCTCGCCTTGGACTTGTTTGCTGAATCATAATTGGAAATACCTTGATATTTAAAGGGACATTCTGCCTAAATAAGGCCAATAAGCTTATGAAGAAACCCCCTTTACTTATCATTTTAAGTAATAATGTGTAACAGTTTAAAAAATGTAAATACTAATATTCAGTTGCATTTCTTTGTCTTGCTTTGTTCCACTACCTGGTACACTTAAAAGTCTGCAGACAAATAACAACCTCCTCTTTGAATCTGTGTTTCCCTGGCGATTAATTCAACCGTGTGTTCTCATTGTATCTGATATGACTATGTAGTGTTTAATTTAATGTTTCCATTTGAACTTTATGACCATGGTGTTATATGTTCTGTCTCTGTAGACATTTTTATGGAAAAAAAAACAAAAAAAGGATTTGAGTGCTTGCACCACTGTTGTTTGAGATATGTCTATGAGAAGGTCAGAAATAAATGTTCCTTTTCACAATAGAAGTTCGCCTTTTTATCGGGTGAAAGGTGGAGCAGAGTGAGAGCGTGAAGTGTCGATCTAATAAAGCAGAAAAGAAGACATTCAGAGCAAACTCAAGCGGCTCTGAATGTCTTTGTTTGTTCGGTGGCATTTGGGTTTGAGTAAAGTTGCTGTTGCTCTTCAGGAAGACTCTAGACTCTGTGCTGTAAGCATGAATATATTTCTCTCAGCTGCTGGCAAAATTCAAAGTCAACACTTAAAACTACTGGAAAGCTAGCGATGTAGATATTAACAGTGGGTTCAGAAACAACTAGCATTATTTAAGCTAGCAAGTATAGCTATAGAGTATAGCTAACACTGTGAATATGCAAAGCTGCTATTTGCAACAATATAAAGATACAAGTAATAATAAAAATATTCATAGTTACAAAAGTTAAGATATAGACCCACCAGTGGTAACAACAGCAAGTTCAGAAACAACTAGCATTATCTAAGCTAGCAAGTATAGCTATAGAGTATAGCTAACACTGTTATTATGCAAAGCTGCTATTTGCAACAATGTAAAGATACAAGTTATAATACAAAGATTCATAGTTACAAAAGTTAAGATATAGACTAGGGCCCGACCGATTTATCGGCAAGCCGATTGAATCAGACAGTTTTAGGCCGTTTGAGACTAATCGGTAATCGGCCAAAACTCGCTGATTTTCGCCGATATTTTCAGAAATAAAATGCAGAGAGTAGGATTTGGTTTCACTTCAAAAATGTTCTGCCATTTGAAAAGTTCCCTGACCTATACTGTAGATGGCGCAGCGACCTCATGACAATCTTCATCCACTAATCTATCTATTTTTTATCTATTTTATCTATATCTATTTTTTCATAACTACATTAAAAACTACATTTAAAAAATCAGCCGATTAATCAGTAATCAGATTTTTTCCCCCCTAATAATCGGAATCGGCATCGGCCCCAAAAAATCCATATCGGTCGGGCCCTAATATAGACCCACCAGCGGTAACAACAGCGAGTTAAGAAACAACTAGCATTTTTTAAGCTAGCAAGTATTGCTATAGAGTATAGCGAACACTGTTAATATGCAAAGCTGCTTTTTTAAACAATATAAAGATACAAGTAAGTAAAGATATAGACCCACCAGTGGTAACATTTAGAGCTACTTAAGTCAACATTTAAAGGTTTCTTTTTTGCCAATATTTCAAGAATTCAATCATAGACTCAAAGCTACCAGTTTGGATATTTAAATCTACACTTAAGTCAGTTAACTTTTGCTAACATATAAAGGTTTTGGCCTTAATTTTTTGCCACTGTTAACAAGTTTTTTTGAATATGTGACAAGTGGAGGAATAATGTCAAAATCCTTTGTGTTAAATAAAGGTTCAACAAACCAAGAGAGATGCTAATGTCACTCTCCAAGTGTCGTCCCTAGCTTGTTCACTCCAGGAATTTCCTGAGTAAGAGGAAGTTGTCGAGTGTATCACCAACAGACGTCAGGGGCTCTCCCTGACTTTCCAGGAGCTATTGTCCTCGCCGCACATTTCACATTAGCCCAGGCTCTGTGTGTGCTGCTCACACGGCTCAGCGGTGTTAGTGGGTAAAATGAGTTTACCCGGCGCTCCACTGAGCAAACAATAAAGAGGACACAGAGGCGTTTTACAGGTCAGCTTGTGTAAATAATGGTGTGGAAGGTGTGAGCTTGTTTGTCTAAACTGTAGCCTGTGGCACAGAGTGGAAAATAGCATGGCAGGACCCCCCTCTATTTCATTGATACCTCTCATTTGTGATATTATCTCCAGAGCTGCTGTAATGGATTCATTTTGATGCATGTGCTCTTGTGAGGATCACTACAGATGCTTCTGAATGGAGTTTCCCATAATGTGGAAAAGTAAGCAGGGGGAAACACAGCGAGCTGAGACTGTAATTATGTTTACCAGGATAAAAACCCTACTTTTGGCTTGTTGTAGTACCACAGTAAACATTTTCCTAATGTCTTTATGCTCTCATTTGCTACTTTAATATCTTCCTAAATACCACAGGATGCTCATTTTGGAAATTAAGGTCTCATTTAGAGTCAAATAGATGATACAGAGGGGTACGCTTGGGGCTGCATGCGGAGAAGTCCACTGCGCTGCAACCTGTCAACCAATCTCCACACAGATCTACCAAGAAACCCAGCAAATGGTACAAGACAAGCTTAAATCAAAATTTGACACTCTTTGTTTGAAAATCACGGATGCTGCATCCTCTATGCATATGTAAGTCGTCGCATATTTCAGCAAGGCAATGCCAAATTACATTCTGAATGTTTTACAACAGCACGGCTCTGTAGTAGAAGAGTCCTGGTGCCAAACTGGAAACCCTGCAGTCATTGCTAAACCCCAAGACCCGAGCTGGAATCCCATTTTAGGCAAGAATGGGAAAACATATAACTCTCAAAACTCCAAAAACTGATCTACTAAGTGTGATGCAAGCCATGCTAAGAGACCAATGTGGCCCACAGACTCATTATTATGACACATACTCTTCTTTGCCTCCAACTCCCTGAAGTCACTGTCAAACAATTGCATTAACTTTATGAAAAAATAAAAATACTCTGCTGATTTCTGACCTTTTCCTCTAAGTTAATGCAATTGGAGGCAGGTTCAGCGTTTAAATGTGCTCACTGACCCTCCATTGTTCTCATACAAGACTTTACGTGACATTTCCAACGATCGATACTGAAACTCAGTGTGTCTGGAGGTTTCGCTGCCCGGCTGAAATGCACCACAAAGGTTGGGGACCAACTATTGCATTAACCTATATCAAGGGCAGGGTTTGCTCTTCTTGTGTGTGGTTTTTGTCCCCTCATTGTGATGCTGGATTTACACTTGTGATCTGGTGTAGCAGCTTAAACAGCTCAGTCCTGTTTCCCCCAACCCCCCTAAAAGGCACCTTGGATAGACTTCAGTGAGAAGCAGAAAATGGTTACTCATTCAATTTTCCCTCATGGGCCCTGGAATCTGAACCGCTGACCTTCCTTTGCAAGACCACTCCACTCTCCTTTAGGGCCAACACTGCCCCACTTTCTTACAAAACATCAGGCCAGAGTTGGTTCAGAGTGTTGCAGTTTTTTTGCTGCTAACACTGCAGCTGCACTCGTACGAGCGGGCGGTCTTTCGGCTCCACGATCCCATGAGGATCTTTACAGCCGAGTCACAGCTCAGAAATAGAGCAGACTTCAAAAAAAGATAGAGCCGTGGCACTCCAGGGGGAGCTGTGCATGGATTCTATAGGCATTGTAATGAAAGGGAGTGTGTGGTACGCAAACTCAGGGATATTTCAGTTTAAAACAAACAGGTAATGGCAGCATTTTGGGAATCTATCAATAGAAGTAAGCATCAATAAACATATATACAGTAAAACCCTAACAAGAACCAAAGACTGTAGTCAAATCATATGATTTTTTTTATCATCCTGTGTTATTCTAAGCTCAATAGAGGCCTTTTCACATCCATTCTTAGTATATATATGCATGGTTAGTGATGTAAAAGGTCTCCTCTTTGTGTCTTTGAGTTTAAAGGATCAATACTCAAACTATCCAGCAGATGTCACTGTTAAGTTTCAGGAGAAAGAGCATACAGACAGCAGTGATTTCATCATGGGAGGTAGCAGGCAACACAATGTCCTCTGAACCTCTCTAAACAAAGACATGTTTCACGGTTATTTATGTTCATACACTACAAATATTCAAATTTTAACAAATTTATGCAACATGTGTAGTTAAATGTCTTTTGCTGAGCAAAAATAAAGACCTGTATTATATAAAATTAGCATTTCAAGGACTATGAGTGAATTAATTTCCTGTGTTGTAGATTATTTACACATTACAAGCAATTTGGGTCACATTTTTTTGCATGTAGCGCCTTAAAAATGGACATTTATTTGGATTCAGTTGAAGGAGGGAGATTTATTTGGACTAAAAGGCACAAAAAACTTGTTTTGTTTGAGTTAAACGGTGAATTCAATATCTGAGTTGATCAAAAAGACAAAAAACAAAGAACTTAATCTCTTTAATTGGGTTGGTGTGCAGATGTGTAGTACCCTTACTTTTAAAGTTAACCCCTTGCAGGCACTTTTTTTAAACATGCTGGGACTATTTAGGAGCGGCAACTACCTTTTCCTGCCCTCTCAGTATTACAGTTCCTGATGTACACCCTTTCTAAAACTTAGGGTAAGGCAGTGGTTCTCAAGTCCAGTCCTTGAGGTCCACTGTCCTGCATGTTTTGGATGTTTCCCTGCTCCAACACACCTGATTCAAATGATTAGCTCGTTAGTAAGCCACTACAGAGCTTGATAACGAGCTGATCATTTGAATCAGGTGTGCTGGAGCAGAGAAACATCCAAAACATGCAGGACAGTGGGCCTCAAGGACTGGACTTAAGAACCACTGGGGTAAGGACCCAGTGGCGAGTTTTATTGGGTCGCAAAGACAGAAGTCTTCAACTGGGGATGCCAAACAAACCATTGCAATGGAGAAGAAAGCTTTAATTGACCGTTTGTAATATGTTTTAATGAATAAAATTTTGATCTGGAGATTTTATTTTGGGGTCTTCTACATGACATGATCTCTTGTTCCTCCCCTAATATACATTCCCAATGGCATGCTTTCGTGGGTGTAACGCCACTGCACTTGTCTGTTTTTGCTGTAGAATAATATAATTTTGAATAAATGCACGCTGTGTTACTCAGCATTATTCTCTGAGATCTTATATTCACTGTAGAAATACACAAGGTAAGACTTATGATTTACTGATACCGACCCAATCATACACGATTGAATAAGGGGAGAACCGCCACTTCCTTTATCAACTATTTTCAACTTAAAATGAGAAATTCCAGGAATGAAATGCAGGCCGTCTGACTCTGAGTCATGATTATCACAGGGTTTTTCCTGCGTTCAAAATTGCGTGGCGGCCGCCTCCACCTAATTTTGGGCCGCCCCCAGCAAGAGCGATTGATTTCGCTCAACACAGCGTAAAGCTCCAGCTGTGTTGATTGAGCGATTGATGTCCCTCTGCAGCAGCAACGTATTTTAACTGCAGTTGCAGCGTTGCGCCACTGTAGAGGCGCTATATCAACAGCAGTGCACCGGAAAGACCTGAAGCATCTACCGAAGAAGAAACGGATCGAATCATGTTTTTTCAAGTTTTTTTCCCGCTAGTTGGTGCTATCGGCGTCCTGATTTTCCCTGGCGGATGGTACAAACAGGTAAATACTGCTTGTCTTTTTTACATCCGAGCATGATTTATTTAAAAAAAAAAAGTTTCCTCCGTTTTTAGCGTTGCAGTTATGACAGGCAAAATCAGCCAGTACTTTAAAAAGCGACCTCGCGAGGAGGAAAGTCAAGAGTCCAGGTGAAACACGGCAGAGAAAAACGTAACAGGCAGTTAAAATGCTATAATTCATGGTGGTGACAACGTGGAAATTTGTGTCAGGTCTGAAAGTACTTCACAAGGGACTGGTGATCGCGAGGGTCAAAATGCAGGACAGGACGAGTCGGCGAGGCGAGGGTAATTAATTAATTAGTTTCCAATTAGGAGCATAACAACGCAAAGCCAACGGGTACGTAGTTTTTATTCCTCTTTCCAGATCTTCTCAAAAACACAGAGCCAGTGGCTTTGACAAGCAATGGCTCAATCAATTTACCTGGCTCAGGCATACTGAGGAAGGCATGCACTGTTATTTATGCCAAAAGCACTGTGCCCCAACACAGCAGGCAATTGCTGCCTCCTTAGTGAGACAGCCATCAACCAACTACAGGCTGGACACATTAAAAAGACATGAGGTGACAGCCATTCACAAAGCAGCAGAAGAGAAGGAGAAGTATATTAAAGATGGTAGTACCTAAAAACACTCAACTAATAAAGTTACAAAAACTAAAATAACATAGTTTAGATAGTTTAAGAAATAATTGGTTGTCGTTTTTTTTAGGGAGGACACTGCAGTGTATACATATATATAATATATGATTGAAAACACTATCACTCTTCATGTCTGTATCAGAATAAAAACAAAAATACTTAATGTATGATGAATTGTTTTGTTTAAGGTGAAGACACCTCTGCGGAACAGACTGAAGGAGAGGCACTTGGATGTCTGTTGTAAGGTGGCCGTTGATGGACCAGACCAGGAGGCCTTGGACTACAAGGAGTGCATGAGGAGGTTCTACAGAATGAAAAAGAGGAGGCTGAAATGTTCTGTCTGGTTGCGAGATGTGTGGATGAAGTGTACTTTCAATTTAAAGTTGCCAGCTGATTTGTATATGTATATAGTTTTAATAAATGAATGCTTTAACATGATAATGGTCACACTCTTTTTTGAACTCTTAACTTAAAGTATGTTGCCTGTAAAAGAAAGTGAGTCGGTTGAATTTACAAATACATGCACGTCATGGCGCATGGTCAGGATGGTGCCACCTCTGCCTCAATTTGAGCCAGGAAAAACCCTGATTATCATTATATACCAAGGTTTCAATATGCCACTTTCTCTGGGAGAGCATTATTCACAGACAATTGCGGTTGTAGAGATGATAGTTGTGCCTGTTTTATGGTTAGAATAGAGACAACGTGCAGGAGTAAGTCATAAGGCTTGGCTGCAGCGATAATGTTCTATGAGAGTTGTGAAGAGATCGATACGCAATCAGGAGCTTGTTGGTCATTTTCTCCACTCCTGAAGGGGATTCTGTAACTGGACTGATTGTGTTTGTGTTTCCCTTGTGTCTACGATCTCAACCTGCACTAACTTTGTAATTGCACATAATTGTGCAGAAACACAGCGCGTATATGCTGCACTAAAGGCGAGATTATAGTCGAGTCATAGGCTTCATAATGCGTCTTTCAAGGTTTGCACGTTTGCAGTTTAAAGACATGAAAAAAAAACTACATTTTCTTACTGAAGGCGTAAAAGGATGGACTCTGTCACACCAAGGTCTAGCGAGGACAAGCTTTATCATTCCATCCAATCAGCATCACCACATGCAGACAGTATTCTGACCGAGAGGTGAGTAATTTGAATTCAGGATGGTGTTGAGCGGAATTGTTTGTGTCACAGGAGAAGACAAACAGAAAAACAAGTCTGCTTTATTCTTATTTCTAAAGCCGGCCTCCCTGTCTCGATCTTGCTGTTGTTAGCTGTGTTTTCAAGCATGGCTGGAATAAAGGGAGTATGTTGAGTTACACATTTCCACCTCAAGGGATGCAATTTTGTCTCCCTAAGGGATCAATTCACTTTCATAGTACTATTAAACAATACATGCTGAACAGTCACTATTTAAGACTTCTTAAACCCACTCTGACAAAATAATAGCTCAAATGAAGGTAAAATTGCAGTTTTTACAGGAAGGTGATTAGCTCTTGTGGCTAACAGGTTTAAAGTCAATCATCAGCACAGAGGGGAGCAGCTGGCAAGTCTTTTTTTGTGGCGTCTCTGTTCCTTCTAACACTGTACGAAGGCTGGTACAGTCTTCTGTTTGCTAATATAAACGCAGTCAACCGTGGCCGTCCAAACACGGTCACCAACTGTTTCACCTTCTGCTCCAGATTCTTGATGACCGTCTTGGTACGGCCGGGGTTGGCTGCCGGCGAGAATCCGAGAACTTGGCCGACATCCACGAAGGGCAGGTTGGCGAGCGTTGGCGTTTATGGGCTTGCTCTGGATTGAGAATGACTATTTCCACTTGGCTCGACAACATCTGTGAGACGAGGCTCCTGGCTGCGATAAAGGCCTGAATTTCGAGGGACTATGGAGCCAACCAAGGGTTGTCCACCCAGTCATGCCAACAGAGCATCTCCAACAAAGTGTCCTGGCCTTGATCTTGGATGGTTTTCTAGACATTTTAGTACATCTCAGAGAGTGTAGGACAGTTTTTGGCAGCTACTCACAGGACCAATGGTTTCCTCACCACTTAAGACCTTTTTAATATCGCCCAGATCCCATCACCTGGCTTAATTTTTGAGACGTGAAGGTTAGAATGTGAGGAAGAGGTTAATCCACCACTGCAGCAAGCAATTAATCATTAATCCAATTGTTTCAATAGTAGGCTGGCCTCACTGGGATACCCCTCCTTGAGTGGGTAACCACAAGGGCCTAGAAGTAGTCTCAGACGGTCAAACTTAGTGCTGACCTTTAGACAAGTCTCAAAGATGGTTCAGGGTTCATTTGAAGCCTTAATTTTTCAGTGTTGAGGTTAGAAAGTCAAAAAGAGGGTAGGCAGCCTCTTTAGCCAGTAATTAACCCCCTAAAAATCAAACTAATTGCAGGGTAGCTGCTTGGGGATTTAGTCAAAGATGGTTTTTCCCTTTCCAGCCTTGTTTTTAGTCTCACTGCTGGTCAATCAAAAGCAATTCGTTTTGGCAAAAAAAATAAAACAATCCATTTTTATTCTTCCTAGTACAGAACTCATGACTTAATAGTATCACCTGCTTCAGGGAAATCAACTGTTGCTTTCTCTCACACGAGCTTCAGTCTCATTCCCAAGCTCAATATCCCACTGAAAGGTGAGCTGACAGATACAGGGTAGCTAATGAGAACTGTGTCCGATGGAGCTTCTTATCAGGACTCCCCTTTCACTTCGCCACCTCCCAAACAAAACTCAATCTATTTCTTAGTCACCAACACTTATTTTCAATCTTTTGATAGCATTAGTTTTTCACAACAAGGGCTCTCATTTCTACTTTATAGCATTTGATCTTAATCAGAGACTTTTTATGAATTCCCCCCTCCTTGCATCCTAATCTCTTGCAGTCGACAAGGCACCAGAGGCTTTTGTGATGAACAATTTAGTCTATTGATCAGACAAGGCCTGGGGCACAATTAAAGCCAGAGGGAGGAATGATCACTTTACTAATGAAAAGGCTTCTGGAAAGTTCTGCCAGGAAGTCGAAAGTTGTACTCTCAGCCTCTGAAAAAACCCTTAAGAAAATGCCAAACAACTTTTGTTGACTTTGTTGTCTTTCATCGGCTCGGCTGCTGATTTAGTTTAAGACTGATCTTTGAACAAGCTCAATTCCAATAAAGTTCGGTGACTGCAAAGCGTAGGAAAACACAGACTTTGTTGATTTTGCCGATCAATCAAACACGATTGTTAATTGAAAAGAGCGCAAACAAAACACATGAAAAAGTATTGTTTTGTGAATTGGCATAAGAAAAATAAAGTGCAATGCTTTAAAAAACACCTGAAAACATCTCATGACTAATTAGATGTGTAGTGCCCTAGTAATTTGAGTTCATTCTTAAAGTTGTTTGATTCTGTGATAGCTCTTATTTTTCTTGTTGATTAAGTAAGATATCACCTCATAATCTCAGGAATGTAATTTTTTGGTTAAAGTTTTCAAATATCCCGTAGTTAAGGCAGACCTTGAACGCCTCATGTCCGGTTGTCCCTGTATTTCATGATTGAAAGGCGCCAATCATTGTCAAGTTTGGGTGAGGAGTGGGACCTGTCAGTTTTTGGGAAGGCGGGGTTTTCATCTCGGTGAGAGAGAGCGGTGATTGACGGAGCGGAAAAATGCTGGCCAGCGATGCCGAGAGAAGGCGAAATAATAGTGTGAAAGTTTGCATGGCTTCAGTCACATCCTGATGCAGATTCCCGACGTAGAGGGAGGCCATGGGGGTAACTGGGAGCACTGGGGTTCATTCTCGTTGACTGTGAAGGCTAGCAAAGTATTCGGGCGACGCTTGAATTTCTCAACGCAAAAAGTTTCCAGCGACTAACAGACTGATTGGGTAGAGATAACGGCTCTAACGTCGCTACAGTTACGGGGCAGAGAGCTGATGGTGAACGTTGGCAACCGTTTGCTTTGTCAGCAAAATAATAGTGTGAAAGTTTGTTCTTTCGTTGTAAAGTGTTAAATGAAGACCCAACGGGATTGAGGCTCGGTGTGTTGGATCGGGGCGGGGGTGTGTGGTCGTTGCGAGACGTGCGGGTGAGTGTTGTTAGTGGATTCGGCGAGGTTCGTAAATGTGCTATATGCTAAATTGTTAGCTGACTAGCACATTTACGAACCTCTCGGCATCGCTGGACAGCATTTTTCTGCTCCGTCAATCACCGCTCTCTCTCACCGAGATGAAAACCTCGTATTGGCCATTATCCAATGCCGATCCAATACTACTGTTGAATGAATGAACTGTATACCTTGCCCTGTGAGTGAAGGCATCAAGCTTGACATTAGCCTTTTTAAAAAGAGGTAACAAATTAACATACAGTAGATATAAATTTACTTAATATTATTTATTAACAAATAACAAATTGCACATTAGCACACAGCAAAAAG